TCATCAGAAATTACAGATGAAAGACTGACAATATATTTGGATTTTGATTTCGTAAAAGCATGCGATTAATTTTTAGCATCCGACGATGCGTGTTTTTATATTTCGAATGTACGCCATGTTCTTACATATTTTTATTTCCTTGTACGAAGTAAAGGATGTGTTGTAACCGCGAAACGTTTCGGGTATCGTATTTAAAAAAAAATCCATTTTGACCGCTCTGGATTCTATTTGAACGATGTTTTTGAATTCATTTGTACGCACGTACAGAATTAAAGGGCATTTTTCCCCAAAAACTGATTGTGAAATGGATTCAGAAGAGATTTTTTCATGACCCCCTCGTCTGCACGTACGTATATGTATCTCGCATAACTCAAAAACGAAAAGCCTCAGAACTTTAAGATTTTCTATATGGGACTGTTGTAAAATGTAGAAGTGCATCTTCCTTTTTTGGTTGCAATAGGCTAAAAATCAAAAGTACGTAAATATATGTATATATATATATATTTGTAAAAGTTGCAAATAGTAAATCATAAAAAAAGTGAGACCTAGTTGCTCAAAAACTGCATGCGTGAACTTCAAATTTTAAAATAGAATAATAATAAAAGGAGAGGTTAAATATATATATATATATATACTTGGTGAGCTAAGTTTTTTTATTCTTATATGTTAGTAAATTGTGCACTTTAAAAGTGATTGAATTATATTGTTCTTATGTTCCGGTTAAGTTTATGCCTTTAGTTAATCTGCATGCAATAGTTGTAGAATTATCAACAATTTAAAAGTTGTTTATGTTTTACTAAGCTTAACGATACCTTTATTTGTTTATATTTGAAACTTAGCAAGCTTAGTGACGCAGAAACTTAGTGAATTAAATCAGATTCTGCACCAACTTCAGTGTCTTTTTGTCGAGTGAGGTCAAAAGTTTTGTGCATCGAAAAATCTCTCTTTCCGCCTATTTTATGACAATTCATTTAAACTAGTTTTAATTGTAAAAATTATTTTTTAACTGTTTTTAACTCTATTTGGTATTTAGGTTTCTCTGTATTTTACAATTTTTAATAAAGATATTTTGAATTTTCATGTATTATTTACCTCGTCGCGAAGTGAGAAATTAATTGATTGAATGAGAAATATATCTCTAATGAAATTCAGGGAAATAAGTTTAAATGAAATGCCGCAAAAAAGTTACATAATTAATAGGCCGTAAAAAAAGAAGTCATATGGTGTTCATATCAGATTTTTTTTTTTTTTTTTTTTTTTTTTTTTTTTGCTGCAACCGTAAGCCGTAGGCACATACTTCCAGTTACAAAAAATATTCTTCTATATGTATTCTTTTTTATTATTATTATTTTGAAGTTTAAAAAAACAGAATGCCAAGTGACAAACCGGCAAAGTACGAAATACATATCCGATTCTTTTCGAATATGCATACATTTCATGCATTCATATGTAATCCATACATTCAATACATTCATTCCATAATTCTATATATTTCATACATTATTTTCTTGAATAAGAAATACATAAATTTTGTTTAGTACGTTTCATGTTTCTCTGTGTATTTTGAATGGCATTGTGTAATTACGTTTTTCGAAATAACGCTTGTATTTTTAAAGAAATGCTCATTTTTTAAATAAAAGCCTTATCGTAAACTTTTTTTATACTTTGCCTAAATAGTATTTGTCGTTCTTTAGAAGGCCTAAGTATTACATAAAACGCCTAGGGAAAGTAGATAATAATTCTATTTCATGCCTAGTCTTAAAAACGAGAGGCATTTTAAAACTGCCTTAGGTAAACCATAATTGGCAATTATATTGCTGGCAAAGCAAAATTTTATACTCATTATAAAAATTAAAAATGAAATAAAAATGTAGCTCCTGTAAGCCAAAAATTGATCGAGATATTTAATTTTTAAATGGTAGATCATATTCGGAGGCTGTAAACACTATGCACAGCGATGTGTTTGCATTTGTAGGTAACTAAATGGGAAATATCAAATTAGGAAAAGATTTCCCATGTTAGTAGATTAAATGACGAACATCTTTAGAAGATCATCGTTAAAGGCATTTATGAACGTAACTTTTTTCAAAGAGGAAAACTTATTCACAAGAACTCGTGCTCTGAAAAACACTAGCACGCACACAGCCAACCCGTACTATTTGCTTAAATTAGATTTGAAAATTATTCCTACATTGATGAATTTGTATGCGTGATTAACTTGGCGATGTTCTGGAAGTTTCCAGAAAATGCATTTTGTATCAGTCAGTTCAATTCAGTGATTCAGTTCAAGCTCGTGCGACTTGAAAATTATTTTCCTAAACTGAGCTATTTTTTGTTTTGTTAAGGAGAATCTGCCTTATCTACGTTTCTCTCCTAGAATTATTTACAGCTGTTTTTCTTGCATGAGTAGTTATTTACTTAAACAAAGTGTTAATTTTTCCTGCTAATCAGGTGTGGTTATTAGGTATATTCCTCACAAAATTATAATGGAAAAATAAAACACGGAATTATATTTATTTCTTCATCGCCTTTTATTTCTGCAAAGACTGTGCATTTAAAAATATTTGCTTTTGTTTTCATAAAGCAAAATATAAAACTCGGTTTCCAAAATCAAGAAAGTTTTCGAATATTTGGTAATATTTTTACTCAATCTCCCTTGAGCTTACCTCAGTCGATCACTTATTGTCGAAACCATTTTCTCAATTGTGTACGAAGAAGTATAAAATTTTAGCATATTTTTATTGTATATTCAAGTTTCGTATATTTGTATTGACCCTACTTCCTCGCGTATTCCCCCCCCTCATTTTCTAATTTTATCGCCCGAAAAGCGAAAGGGAAAAATTATGCGAAAAACTGAGTTTCCGAAGAACGCGTTTGCCATAAGAACATATCAAAGGAAAAGTTATCAAGGATGTTAACTACAGGTACGTATCATAAAATTATTTTTTTTAATAAATTTACATTCCAATAATAATACACAGTAACACTGATACTACAATGTCTTGATATCATCATTTCTGCTTCCTCGCAACTTGAATCTCACCCGTTCTTATTGTCGTCTCTGCTTTTCCTTAAGCCTCGAGTCACCCATTAAAAATTTGAGAAGGTGAATGTTCACCCGACACGGCGAAACTATAGCCTGAATGTCCCGTTCGTATCTGCTTCCATGTGACGGGCCGGTTTTCGCATTAGACTGGCATAATTAGAAGGGAAAGTTCGGCGTGATGCACGCAGCTAATGTGCGAGGTTTTGCTATGTTTGTAAGATGAAAACAATAGGGGCGCTTCTTCTCTAAATACAGTGAGAAGTTACAACCGAAAACACAGTGGCAAAAACATCGCGGACGAAAACGTTGCGGAGAAAACAACGCAAGGTTAAAACGTCGTGGTACAAAACATCGTGGGAGGAAAAAGCAAAGAGAAAACATCGCAGTTCTAAAACACCGTGGTAAAAAATATAAAATTAAGCGGTTAAAAGCTTCGCAGTTTAAAATCATCGCCGTCGGTAAAAAATAAAGTACCTACAAATCATCGCATGAAGATACATAACATCGCACACATTCGTTTCTCAAATGCCATACTGACATCTAACTTTCGTCATAACTAAAAAATCGACATCCAAAAAATTACACGCTATACATGGAAATGTTAACGACACTTTAAGAATAAACATAAACAAAACAAAATATAATTTTCACTAAAACAATATCAAATTAACAAATGTGAAAGAAAAAAACTTGAGCAATTTTATACTAAGCAATTTTTATACGGGCAACGTCATGTAGTTATTTATCTTCCATTTTCTAAGCATTTTTAGACTGTATTTTTCTTAAAAACATTATCAGTAAAACTTTAAAAAAAGTAGGTTAATTTATTAATGATATTTGTTAATTAACGATATAAATTTAAAATCCTATTAAGTTCTATAAGTTGCATTAATTTTCTACTCATTTAAAATTTTTAAATTCTTAAGTTTCCTTCTTATTTTTTCAGCAAAATTTAATAGTTCATTCAAAAATATGAAATATAGAAACAAAAGAATTCCTCTTCCCTTCTTGTGCTCCCAAATTATTGTGCGAACATGCGTTTACAACTTTTAAAATCTGAAAACGCACGTTTGCGATGTTATCGTCATGGGACGATTTATAGGTACTTTATTTTTTACCACGATATTTTCGACGACGCTGTTTTTAAACTGCGAAGTTTTTGAACCGCTTTATTTTCGACCATGACTATATTTTCTAAGATGGTGTTTTAGAAACTGCAATGTTTCCTCTTTGCTTTTTTTTTCTTCCACGATGTTTGTACCACGTTTTCGCCTTGCGTTGTTCTCTGCGCGATGTTTTCGGCGGACAGCCGGTGGAAATGGGGAAAATTATGTGAATATTTTTGAAATTTTCAAAACCTGGTTCTAAAAAGTCAGGGGGAATAGGCGAGGAAATACGGTACTTCAAGTAATCTAACAATTTTGATTTTTTTTTTTTTTTTTTTTTTTTTTCCCTGCGTAGCTCAGATGTGGAAACATTTTTATAGAGTCACATTTTATGTACCGGGAAATATTAAAATTTAAGTTTTTTATATTTTTACTGAAAGATGTCACTTAATCAAAATTAGACTAACTTTATTCGATACGACTAAGAAACATTCTGCATAAACAGAACTTGCTGTAAAAGTCTTGCAAGAAACATCTGTTTTGGGAAGTACAACGCATTTTAAAAAACGGCGTCAGTTCCAAACAATATATTATCATATAAGAAATATTAACATTATTTAAGAAGTTTTCACAAGAGCTCCAAAACATATTACAAATTTAAAATATTAGTACTACTTTCGAAGTTACGACAAAAAGAATGACTCTTGAGGGAAAAAATGGGGGTATAAAGTGGTACAACTATTACATGATACATAGCTACTCTGGTCATATAGTTATTATGAATAACAACGAGAGTCATTTTAATGCCTTGATCAAAAATCATGTACAAAAATTAATTTATTACTTACCGTACTCGTTCTCCTACCAAGAGTATTGGATCTGAAAATTGAATATAAAATGAAAATTGAATACAAAATTCACATACTGTTAGGCATGGTGTCCCAAAAGTAAGTACCCGCTTTTGTGAAATCGGACACTTAAAATTTTTTTTTCAAGTGTGTTAATTCTTATCGTGTTTAAAATGTGATAAAAATGTACATACAAAATTATATTTTTCTATGTGCAAGTGTTCCAAAATTTTTATTTTGTGTTCAGAATTAACTATCTATTTTGGTAGACTTATAAAAAACTAGGTTTATTTTTGCAACTTAATTACGATTACAAAAATTATAAGTTCATAGAAAGCAAATATAAATGCGAAAAAAGATATTTGCAAGTATTATGTTTGTTATTATTAACATTATCGAAAATATTTAACCTGTGCTCCGTCCCTATTCCTAAAAATTTCAAAATCTACCCTTAGCAATGCGAAACACGTTCTGAAGCATTTTAGAAATTATCTCCTGAACAGACAAATGCGTTCTCTGAGTTCAGCTAAACCAGGTTTTTTTTTTTTTTTTTTTTTTTTCTGTAAAAGTTTATTTTTATGAAATGCCGCGCAAAATAAATCTAAGGGATCAAATCCGGAGATCACGGTGGTTAAGGTCGAGATCCTTCATGTCCAGTTCATCACTCTAGAAAGCGAATGTCAAATTTTTCTCGAACTGATTTCAGAACACTATGTCAGTCCAAAAATAAAATTTAGTATACATTTTCCACATTTTAAACAAACTAACAAAACTTACGTTTTTTTAAAACGTCCGATTTCACAAAAATAGATACTTACTTTATAGACACCCTGTATTAATATAAAATTTACTCAAAGTTTTCAAAAAATAATTATCAAAATTTCAATAATACAAAGTTTCCAATAAATCAGCTAATATAATACAAAAAACAATCTGCCCTCGAGAACTGAAGTCATCCATCAGAAACATCCCTCGCCTCAGACAGACACCAGATTTAGAAAGACTCAATCAATTTCAAAGGCAAATATTTACAGGTTCTTCTTCATCAGAAGCAAAGGAACATGATCAAAACTGATTTTTTGCTAATTTCTTTGCTCCTGATGAAGAGGAACCCGGGATTGTTTTCCCTCCAAATCAATACTGTCTTGACTAAATTTATGCCAAGCACGAGCTTAATTTGCTGTGCCTAATTTTATGTTTTACTCTGACATGCTTATCTTCTCTCTTGATTAAAATCTATGTCAATCAACAATGGTTTTGTTACAAAGTTCAGCGATTCTCTCCGAAGCTGATTCAAAGAAAAAATTCGCTTTATACAGCGAATTTATTCCGATTTCAGAAAACGTATTTTAGCACATTTATAATTTAAGGAGAGCTCTTATTGGAAACGTGCCAGCAATGGAGGTCTGTTATTCGTTCACGAACTGTTTCGCTCTACTGAGCGAGCGAACACGAAAAAAGAGCGGAGCACTTGTTGGAAGCATGCCAGGAAATTTCGATTCCCATTTTAGGTCAAAATAGAATGATTATCTTCCCATGTTAAAAGTGAGTTTAATTTTCATTATTTCTAGAATTTTACTGTTAGTTCTATGTAAAGAGGAGGAAATCTAAAAACTACAACTGCAAGAAATCAATTATGGGAATTAACGTTTGATTGAAACATCCGATCTCACTCCGATTCGATTCTTTTCTATCATCGCTCCAGCCTCGTTAATAATCTGATCCCACTGTTCCTTCGCCAGCGATTAGCCAGTATGGAGCGCGGAACGGAAAGAATCCGTGCCAGCAATGGAGCGATTAGCCAGTATGGAGCGCGGAACGGATTCTTTTCGTTCCGCGCTCCATACTGGCTAATCGCTCTTGATTCCTCCCTCGTTCCCAATCTTTCTGATCAAGGTGATTGTTAATGGGCGGCAAATCATAAAAAAAGAATATTCTGCTCATCTCTACTTTGCTACATCTACTTTGCCTTGTATGTAGTTAACTGTAGAATTTAGTTATTAACATATAAGGTAGAGCGTGCACTTCGTCTTTTCTACTAAAGCGTACTCTCAATTATCCGGGCCATTGCCTGGGAAGCAGGTGACAGATAATTGAAAAACACGGATAATCCAAACTACCAATATTTATGCAGATGCTATGCGCTTACTTCTTTAGAAAAATCAATAATTTTACTTTGCTTTTGAGAACGTTTAAATATTGCCGAATTTCCCTGCGTGTTTTCCGAAGCGCTATATCACTGTATTGGAATCCTCTTTAGTCGACGAAGTCCAAAAGAGTTTCAACAAAAGTCATTGCTGTGTCGAACGAACACGGATAGCGTAAGGGCCAATTCCATAATCTATTTCATGCTTTATCGTTGATTGGCCGTGTTCAAATTTTTCGATTAATGCAACTTCTTGTTTTAATGTTAAAACAACTTCCTTGAGCTTAGTGCTTGAAACATATACTTTTTCATTTTTAGTTCAAGTTTTAAATAAAATTTTAAAGAAAGAAGAAAATATGCACAAAATACGTACGAAAAAAGAAAATCCCAGTGATAACCGAAGCGGTGCCTTCGGTTATAAACATGAAGAACGACCTGCATGAGGTAATCGTTGAAACTAAACCTAATGACACAGTTTATCCATTTTTAGAGGATGCTCGGACTTGCGCGTTTTATATAGTATATATACACTTTCGCGCATAGCATATAAACCGCAAACCGAATAATCCGCACCAAGTAATCGAAAGTACAATTGTATTAAAATTTAACTAAAAAACACAGAAATATGCGAAAAATGACAAAGTAATTCACTTGAAATCTCTGTTCGTGGAAGTAGTGTGAAATTTAGAAGAAATGCTGTAACGACTTCTGTGATTGGTCCCCTCTTCGTTCTGAGATTTGTCCATGTTTTCGAAATTGTCCAGCATAAATCTTTCACGCAAACCGAGCTTGTCCAGATTTTCGGTGCTCATGCTGAAAGAACTGGAGTAAGAAGGTTCTGTTTCACCCGGCGTGCCAGAGTCCTCGTCATCGGTGTTGCCATCCGTTTTGTCTAAAAAGAAAACCAACTCGTTAAAGCCTTAAATTATTGAAGTACACAAACATATCCATGTTGCCGGTTATGTATGAAAGCTGGCATTCTATACAAAAGAAGTTCTCAAACAGGCGAGGGATTCCGCCCCTTGGAGGAATTTTGTAGTTTCGGTGGGGGGGGGGAAGAAAGTGCTCACCTTTTATTTAGCTGTTAAGTATTTAGTTTTAATTTTTGAATATAAAAATCTACTTTTATTCCAGTTCTGGTATTTACCAACATATTTTCTACACATTTTGTTGTTTAATTTATAAAACACGTCAAAAGTCGTCTGTGGTAAAAGGAATGCATGGGACGAATAAGGTTGAGAACCCCTGCTACAGAATAACTAGGCATTTTATAGAATACCGAAAACTGGCCAGAAGTGTATTAAATGACTAACATTTATGAAATTTATGAAATGGCTAACATTTCACAAATTTCCTAGTTATTCTACAGAACGCAAAATGAGAAACCCGCAAAATATCGAATATATCTCGGATTCGTATAGAATATCCATACATTTCATTCATTCATGCAATACTCCATACATTTAATACATATCTGGCGGCTTATGTTAATGAGACTTTTGAACTCTCATTTACATTTTAATTGTAACTGCATTATCTCATATACCTGAAACTGTAAACATAAAGAAACTGTATGTAAGTAACTGTAACTATACCTGTATCTCGATAAGTAGTGTAATCTCACTCGTGCTCGTTCGCAGAGCACGTTTGTTGTAACTTTTTTTATTTTTATTTTTATTTTTATTTTTATTTTTTGTTAAATATAAAAGCTGTTAGGTTGTCATGATGACATGTGATTTAATTAGTTAAGCGAATTACAGCGAAGTGAATCACACTACTTTTAATTAGTGTGTAGTGGTACACTGTAGTGCTGTACCTCATATCGCAAAGCACACTTATATTCCATATATTGGTTTCTTTATTAAGGAAGACATAAATTTGGTTTTATACCACTTCATTTTTAATGTATTCTGAATGAAAGATTTTGAATGCATTTTTTTTTTAATAGAATAATTATGTTTATCAGGAATGCACATCTTTTAAAGAAAAAGAAAGAAATTCTTAATTTATTTTTAAAAAAGCAAAGAAAATTGTGTTATAAAATGTAAAAAGAGAAAAGAAAAGAAATTCCTATGTTATCTCTGATGCGATAAAACAACTTTTTAAGGCAAACTAGAATCATGATTTGTCCTATTAAATATACCTGAACATAATATAACAACAAAGAGCAGGACTTCCGGGACTATAATTTCGAAAGTTATATAGAACAATCTTCTTCAGCTGCAGAGCTGAAAATGACATGAGAGAAACCTATCAAGCTATAAGAAAAGGGAGAAAGTAACAGGAATAAAGCCAATGTTTACCATGTGGTTTATACGCCTGGCTTAAGAACGATAAGCCATGAAGCCTTCGCAGCCATGAAGGAATACTTCTGAAATCTTAATCAAAAACTAATTTAACTATCTTAAAATGTTTACCTGAAACACCGTATGAGGAAAGAGAGTGTTGCAGACCGGATTTGCTCTTCATAAGCCTTTTCTCTTCGCGAGGAGCATATATCTGAAAGGAACTGCAAAAGAAATATTTATCGATTTAAACATGAAAAGAGATCAGCAAAAACTCATTTAACATGAACTGCACGTAATTATCGTACACACTTACTATCAGAATACTCTGATGTACGAAAAACTGCAAACATAACATTGATTTAAAAATTAACTGACATCAGATAAAGCCCATTTGTCATAAACTGCAGATAATTACCTTACATACCTGCTATGAGAATATTTTAATGTACAAAATTGAAAGTGAAATATTGATTAAAAAATTAAATGTCATCAGCCGTAACCCACTTCACTTAAATTGTACATAAATGTCGTACGCAGCTACAATGAGAATATTTTAATATACTAAATATCTAAAAATGAAATATTGATTTCAAAATGCACTGACATCGACTAAAACGCGTTTAACATAAATTGTATGCAGTTATCGTTAATCCCTTACCCTTGAGTCAGGGGTGTGTTTGCACTTTTTTACATAAACTGTCGAAGTATTGTCAAAACTATTGATGTTATCTGCAGTCGCATTTCATATTCTGCATTTAATTGGTTTCAGTATTTTGTTCTTGTTGCCAAATATGCCGACAAAGATTTTTCACTTAAATGTGTCATCCCAAATGGCTTTAAAAATGCTTATAGTCGTGTGAGAAACTTCTAAGTTTTCTGAACGAATCTGCAACTCAAAATTTAGAAGTTGCTCTTGCTTAAATTTAGAATTTAACTTCGAATCTGTTTTGGCAAGTCTTTTGATTTATCGTATTCGAATGGACATTTCATCCAATCATGTTTAATTTTTTCTTCAGGGAAATATTCTCTTACGATTTTCTGCAATTGAAAACATTTTTGATACGAGTACCGCTCGGGTGCCTCGAAAGGGGACTTCCCTGATTTGCCCGTACACCGCACGGGCAGTTTTTTTTCCCTACATTGACCGATTTACCCGGATTCTTCACTTTTTTTTTACTTTGCCGTGTTTCTAATAAACATAGAGGTGTGTGTTGTGTATTTAATTATGGCAAAGCACACGAGGGCTATCTGCCTATAAGGAGGGATGCCTTCGTGGAGGACTTTCTAAGGGAAACTGGCTCGTATACACGTTACACATGGGGAAAACCACGAAAACGCCCATGCAACCAGCCCGTTCGCGGGATTCGAACCTCGGACCGAACTACCAGTGTTCAGCGACTTTACCGCTCGGCCGCTGGTGGGCTAATAAACATAGAGGACAGACTGGATTGTAAAACCAGTTCAAGGGCAGGTTTTACTGCTATTCATTTAGGGATTTAGTACCGAAATTACCTCCTGCTAAATAGTTTTCAGACAGAGTTCCACAAATTGTTCTGCGACGAGCCACATGCCCCGGCAAAATCTTATGAATATTATTTTTTAAGCTGTAAATCTAGTTTATTACCTTATTTATTGCTGCTGTATTTAAAGATTTTCCAGTCAATTTCTGTCACGACAGATTTTTCCCTTATGAACAAAGATTTAACTGTAGAAACATTAGAAACAGTGCGCATCTTTTTCGAGTGTTCATTTGGAGTCTCCTTTTAAATAGAAGTAGTGACTGACATTTTTCTCTTTCCAATTGATAATGTTCCTTTTTTCCACCTAAGAATTTGACTACCATTCATTTCACAATGTTTTTTGAATTACAGAATGGGAACATTTCTCTTCGAAAACGCAAAATCATATCCTACAATCTACAGCTCGTTTACATGCAATGTTTTGAATGAAGAATCAATTAAAAAAAAACAGATATATTTGTCATTTCAAATAGAAAGCTGTTGCCAGAAGTTTTTACTCCAAAAGGTTTGCTTTTTTAAAATTTGTTATCGAAATGGTATTGAATATGAGTAAACACCCTCTGTTATTTCTTGTGTGTCAGTCTGAGACATCATATCTGCATCCTCAGCAAAGACAGCTCTTTGAATTTAAAACTTTAATAAAGGACTTAGATCTGATCCTTTGAGCACCTTGTTTTAATCGGCCTCTGCAACGAATATGCCTTTCCAACTTTAATGCTGAATGATCTATTACGGAAAAAAGAACCAATAATGCTAATCAAATAATTAGGAAAGTGAAGTTTGATTAATTAAGGCTGCACTGAAAGACGTAGTCAAACGCTTTTGTTTTCCAGTTTCAAACCCATTATTTGGATCAAAACCTAGCGTATCCAATAACGAGGAAGTAAATGTGTTCTCAGTGTCTTGTAAATTGTTGCTTACCTGTCTTTGAAGTCGGCATTGCCTTCCGGATAGTAAACTAGTTCGCTGGTTTCCGTGGTCCCGCTGTCGGATCTTTCGTCTTCGGCATCGCCGTCGTCGAGCCGCAGGCTGCTGGCGCTACTGGAGTCAGTTGGGTGCCTGACCCTTCCTCCATCTGTCGATTTTTGTACGACACTCGTTCGGCTGATAGACACCTACAATTAAAGAAAGAGGAATCGATTACCATATTTTCCCGCGTATAAGATTCCCTTTTTTCTTTAAAAATTTCGTGTTTAAAAACGAAGTGCTTTTATACAATGTTAATGCTGGCGCCAAAGTCGGCATTCTGGCTGACAAATCGACGATGGCGTGCGCGTTAACCCTTAGAATGTTAAGGCCTTCACTCATATGTTTCTTTAAAAAACCAAAATGCCTTAAATTCCATTTGAGATTCACAGCAATTTCCCCTCTTTCCGTTCATTAATGAACAAAGAGGTGTGTGAAGATTTCAAATAATTTTGTTTCTAGTTCCTAACAAAGTAGCTTCCTTCAAGTGCATACTAAGTCACCTTTAACCTAAAGATAAGGAACCACAAATGAATTCTTTAAGTACAAGATTGTCTGCAATAAAAATGAACTGATAAAATGCATTTGGAAAAACTGTTGCTTAGGCTATTCTGTACTTCAGTGGGAGTTAAAAGTAGGGAGTTGTGATGGTAATGATGAGTTGTATACTGAATAAGCATTAATTTCAATAATTTTGTGCAGTTTTTTATATAATAGTTTGTAACTCAGTAGGCTTATATAAATCAGTCCGTCGTTTGAGCCATTTCCAAAAAGCAGCCTACAGTGTTGTTCCTATTTCACCCTTAGATAAGAGAACTCATTTACTTTATTCCTAAATGAGCTCGATCGAGAAATGTTCTCTCATTTCATTTGTAACACAGTCTATGTTTTTACACCTGCTTCAATAAATAAAAGAACATAAAGTCAGCGCTTTCAATTGCAAACCACATTTTTTAATCGTGATTTATCTTTTTTGGAGTATGATTATATATGAAAACAATAAAATATATATATTTTGGTTTTAATTTTATTTTGTATTATTTTAACCTTATTTTACACATTTTAGTCTTTTTTGATATGCATGTGTCCTCGGAATGGCTGTCAATTCTTTCAGACATCTTCTAAAAGAAACCATTTCATGTTTCCATACATCCATTTTTGCTTGATCTGCTACCCATATATAATTTTTCTGATGAATATCATTCTTGTTTCTCTTTTTTTTTTTTTTTTAGACTGCTCTTTAACTTCAATTACTATTACTAGATCAGAAAACCCAATGCCTATTTCCACTTTTATATGCATGTTGTTTTCAATCCCAAAATAAAAAAATAAAACCTTCCATCATAAACTAGGTCTTAGACCTTGTGAGTTTTACTATACAGTAAAAAGTGCGAAATCTGGACTTGTCGGAACTTCGGCGTTTCCGGATATGGGATTTCTGCAGATATTAGATCATCAGTTTAAATCTAGTAAGATGGCATGTAGAAATTATAAAATTAAAAATATGAAATCGGGATTTTTGAAATAATGAAGTATTTACGATCTAAAAGGTATCAAAATTATTAAAAAAAAAAACTTTAATAGTTACTTGTTTACCTTATTAAACATTTCTATCAATGTAAGTTGTTTAAGTTGCTTCCTTTTTTTGTGCTAATACTTTCTCTTTAATTCCGTCGACAGATATAATCTCTTCTTCAGTTACATTGTTGAGGTCCTGTAACTGCTGCGTCGAGAATTCCGACTAACTTGTCACTCGAAATGTTTTCGTTTTCAGTAACTTCTCTGTCACTTTCTTCACTATCGGTAGCGGTATTTTCTGGATCTAGAATCATACTATAGATTTCGCCATTCATTAATTGCTTGATGATTGAGAAGCATTGTCATCACAATGAAAAACTTCTTTTATATCATTTTCATTTATTACCGCTTCTCCATATTTCTTTACAAAATCAGTTAATTGGAAAATTTCACGTTTATTTTGCAATATCCGAAAACCTAAATTCGCGCCTATCATCATCATATTTAGCTATCGTTCACAATACATATTTGGCTATGCATCATGAGCTTGGCGACTAACGACAAAGTTGTTCCGTTAAATTTCATTTTGCTTCTGTCGTGCACTGAGACAATTTAGCTTGAATTGTATTAGTTCAGTTATTTATTATACTTATGTCTATTTCTTGCACATGTTTAAAGCTTATCAGAGTTCTGAATAAATAAATTCCCCCATATACTTGTAAGCCTTAGGGCCGACGCTAGATATCTTACCACCCGATGCAGTCTCTGTTGGTCCTAAATTCTGCGAACCGGTGCTGCCTTACGAGCCCTGGCGCTGGTTCTGGGTTTATGTGAATAACAAATCAGTTGTTCTTAATTCAAATAGCGCTAAATGTAATCTTTGGGTCTATGAGTATCTTCAACAAAATTTATTTTTACCATATCGAAAAAAATTTTTGTTAAATTTTTCCTCGTCAACATTTTTTAGCGCATTTAACTTAAATCTGTAATCATCGCCAAGCGTAATGTCAAAATAAAAGGTTACCATACTCCTTTGTTATTTAATTACTAACATAAAAAAAAATGTTTAGGCGTCGTTACATGAGTCATTACTCAAGTTGTCGTGTGTTGATAAACATGCCGTGATGAAAGGAAAGTATAATAAATAATGATTCGCTAGGTTGGCGTCAGATCAGCGATGTATCTATGTGGAATGTTTCGGTTTGAATGCAGCAAAGGAGCCAAATTAATGATCGTACAAATTTATGCTAAAATGATTGTTTCTTCAATAACAAGGTATTTTATTTAGTGTCGAAGTGAAATTAAGAATCGGAAATTTCCAGATATTTTATTATTCGTAGAGGGGGGAATCAAATGCTCATGCGTAAAGCCTACGAGGAAAAAGTTGGTGGTTTTGAGGTCCGGATTTTAGATCATTCCGGATAATGGAAGTTCGGATTTCGGACTTTGTACTGTATTCCATTTTTCTAAGATCTTGTTGAAAGAGCTCTTAACGTAACCAGTACACTATACTGAGGCAAACTAATAAAACAAAAAAGAGAGGAAATATAGCTGTCATTAGAAATTCATCTTTAAGAGAGACTAAATGCAAAAATCGACTAATACGAATCGCGTGGAGGGGTATGAAAACAAAGTCTAATATGGGAAAGATGGTCGAATCAAACCGCCATAGCTCTTTTTGGATAAGTCTATTTTGGGACATTGCAGTATTCCTGACTTCCGTCTTCCGAGTTTCAATAATACTAAACAATTCGTAGTTCGTTCTTCCGCAAATATAGATTCAATTTGGAGGAACTGAAATATCTTATGATATGGTTAACGGTCATAGAAGATAAAAAATATTTTATTTTGGGCGGGGGCAAAATACTTTTTTAATTGTTGCGTTTAGTGGTTAAATTTTAAAGACTCAGCGAATCTAATTTTACGCTTTGCCGAATGGCAACACTTCTTTTAACCGAGTTTTCTGTCTAAATTTAAAACAGTAATATCTTAGGCTTTGCCGAATGACAGCACATTGTTTTTAACTCTACGATGGTTGCGAGGTTAAAATAAAATCTAGGAAAACTCGTTCCCTGAACGCATTGAGGAAGGGAAAATTATGCGAGGAAATACAGTATGAAATACGGTAGGAATACGTATATTATATGGTAGCCTTTACCTGTTTTGTTTGGGAACCATCTTCTTTAATGCTTAAAGATTCGGTTTCAGAACAAGAATACGTTGTTTCGGTAGTTGTCTTTTGTTCGGCTGCAATAAAAATATCACATTAAGTAAGTCGTACAGACAATAATATTCAATACATTAATAACTAGAAATGAGAAACAAAACAGAATTAATATTCATCGTTTAATTCATAAAACTTTGTAAAACACATTATGCAATTTTATTTTTAAATAATGATATAGTTACATTTACACCTATTGTACGAAAATATTGTCACGTAGGATACAGGAAAGATATAGAATTACTTATGATATACAGATTTGTTGAATAGGTATCTCCTCTGCAGGTTTTTGTAACCTGTGCAAGATTATTTGTAAATCTATACAAAAATTTTAGTTGTCGAGTTATAAATTGTAGAGACATTTGTAGAGCCGGCGAGGGCATTGCTCACTTTTCACATATGCTGATATGTACAAAGTGAGCATTGCCCTCGCCGGAACTCGAACCTGTACCTCTTGAATACGCGCCGAGTGTGCTACCGTTACACCACGAAGGCATGCAGAAAGAAGGGAGAAAATACCTTACAAAATTTTGCAGGTTGCTTTTTAAAGTACAAGTATATTTACAAAGTCCGTTAGCCTATTTGTAGGAGAAGGAAAACTCAGCTATATCTCTCTGAGATTCCATCTCTGGATCTTCTGGTCGCTAACTGAACGTGCTTTACTCACGAAATCGTAAGAAAAGAAAGGACTCCGTATATTCTCCCCGACTTATAGGACGTTTGGGAAGGAGACCCAGTCCAAAAATCCAGATAGTGACGAATTATTGTTCCCCGCATTTTTGTTCGAGCGCCAGTTGCTTCATTAATAAAGAAAAATTCATCGTTAGGAGAGAATTATTAAATGTTAGGATTTTTCGACATTGCTGGTGCAGCAGTTTTAATGAATGCCAACAGTTAGCCATTCGGCAATTGCGAAATTAAACAATTCTTTCTTCCCCAATACTTGCGATATTAGTATGCCAGTTGCAAATTTATAATGCGAGCTGTATTCGTTTGTGTCCACTGCGGTGCGTAATTGGAATGCGCGCTGAGCTCGTTCACGATTATCGAAAGATCAGTTAAAAACTTACCAGGTATTTGAGATACAGGAAATGACGTACCAGGTATTTGTGGTATGGGTATGACTGAATCTGTGTATGAGTATGACTTGACAATGAGCGCCTGACCCTCTAACCTCTGCGCCCATCTACCACGAGGCTGCATGGGGGGTGGAGAAGATTTTCCTACTGCCTTCCAGTCATCCGATATCTGAAAATAAAAAGTTCAGAATGAACAAAACATTTTTACGGTGTAGCTATATAATACACTTCGGCTATTCGAAATTATTTTGTACAGTTTTATGTATGTTAACTCAGTAGTCTCAAACTCATACTGCATGCGGGTGGAATGCATGATCTGAAAACAGTTGATGGCCCAGATTTCCGCCCTCCTTTAACAAAATGAAAAATTATTGACAAAATGAAAAACATTTTAAATACCTTTTTAACTTTCGCTTGCTAAATATTGCATTCAAACTTTGGCTGTTATTTGAATTATTCGTTCATTTATCCAAACAGCGTCGCAATGCACTGCTTCGTTTTTAGCCCAAAGGGGCATCAGATCCAAAGGGCTATTTGTTTCAAAACGGCATTTTGCGTCGTTTCACTTTCTGCGTTAGTTCACTGTTGCTACCAAATATTATCGCCATGTATTAGATTTAAAGAAACTAAGTAATGAAGAATCTGCATGAATACATGAATGTTTCTCGCACTGTGAAAAAACAACTGTAGCTACAGCCCTCCAATTCTGAATAACGTGGTCCTCAAACCGAACATGGGCACTCGGAAATAGGGATTTTGAATTTCGAACTTGTTTTATTATCTAATTCAAATTTTGTAAAATTTTAACGAAAAGCGACCAACGGCAACACTGTAGGGAAAGAAAAAAATTTTTATCTCCAGCGCGCGAGACTGTGTATCGGAAATTCTAAAGATACGCTGTTTTGTTGTTTTTAAAATATTTTGTGATATTGCTGTTGAATTGAATTTTTATGTGGTTTTTAAGTGCGAAGAACATGACATTTAATAAATAACGGAAACACACCAAACATTAAAAAAGGCCATTTTGGGCGTAATATAAAATCTGAAAGCTTTCAGATTTGTGTGTGTGTGTTATAAATTCGTATAATTTTCCTATTTTTCAGCTTCAGGACTTTTACACTTAATTCAATACACTTTTAGCTGTCATTTTCTCGAAAATTAAAATCCACTTACTTGCTTTTTCGCCCACGAAGGCAGCTGCCCATCTCCAAAGTCCAAAGGTACAGTTTCCTTGCTTTCAGTTGCCTGCTTTCCTGTCTGAATGGGTTTTGCAACTGCCACTGTGGTTTTTCTGAAAAATTGATTTAAACTCTCATTGAAATTTCAAATTTTGACTATCTGACACAAATTATGCATTATACTGTTAAGATGCAGATAAATATTTATTCTATTAGATGTTTCTTTGTAACGGGCATTTCAAGGTCTTTTCCCCTTTCCTCATTTCGTGTGTCGTCACTTCTGCACAGCATTTATATTTTCCATCTCATTTGAGACTCTAGGACAGTTGCCTCAAACTTAAATTGCATGTGGGCCAAATGCACGATCTGAAAACAGCTGACGAAGCACCCAGAAACAAAATAAAATTTTTCTTAGAAAAATAAAAATATTTTAAATAAATTTTAAATTTATCTCTCGAAATATTTATTAAAACACATATAAGCAATAATGGTTATGTCGCAAAGAAAAATATTCAAAATTGTATTTATGTTCTATTCGAAATCTAAAGTTTGGTACCTGCGAGACATTTTTGCTCACTTTGTATTTCAACTATATTAACAACTAAATATCAAATTCTTAGATTGACATTTCTTTCAAATAATTCTAAAATTCTCAAGCAAACTGTATAATGATGAAATGAAGGTGTCCGGATTTGCTCCGAATGTCTTTATCTGTAAAAATTATTACTGTAAAAATTGTGCTTGGCTCACTTTTTATGCTCTTCTGGAACATTTATTGAAAAGTTCATACGAGCTGTTGACACAAAAATACTAATTCATTACCTTAAAATACTGAAAAATACTAAAATGTTTAATTTAATTTCCTTTATTTTGAAGCTTTGGGTGGCAACAATACATACAGCAGCTTAAAATGGAATCCAAAGTTTTCAAATTTTATTTTGGAAAAAGGGTAACATTTATTCTTATATATTTGAAATTGCGATGTTTAGGATTCCAATACTGCAATCAATAAGATATTATAATTCTCATTATTATTATATAATTTTATGATTTGTATTCTGCGAACTGCTTCGATATTAGTTTTCGGTTTTTTTTTTTTTTTTTTTTTTTTTTTTTTTTTTAAATTTTATGAAGTGAATGAATTCCAAGATTAACATTAACAGTCATATCAACATCTCGGTGAATAAGATTCAGGAAGGCGAAGAGAAAAAATGACGAAGAAAAAAGAAGAGCGTAAAGCAAAAACTGTGTGTGGCGTGGACGTACTCGGCAGGTTAATATTATGTTTACGAGTAATGTTTTCGAAAATTTGAGTAATCAAAAACAGTCTGAGAGATATCATTCAGCAGTCAAAAAATGTTTGTTATCTCTGTGCACTCGACGAGTTAACATCAATGTTAACACACCGAAAATATTGTTTGAGGCAAATCATTGAGGACTGAAAACATGGATTGAAGCTTGGGCAGGACACAGGTAGGTTGGCTGGTCATTTTAATTTAAAGCTTTATTTGATTCGTTAGAGAATCGTGGGCTTACTGGTTACTACATAAGAATATAAAAATTCATAGAAGAAAGCTGAAAAATAATTTTAACAATCACAGGGACAAATAAAATTACTTAAAATTAAAAAAAAAAAAAAAAATTCGAACCTAGAGTCTTGCCAAATACTGGAAGAAGTAGGCAGAGCTGAAACATCCCCAGACTTGCTTAAGGACTTCGAAGACTGAAGAGTTAATTTCCATACAAATATACAACTGCATCAAAAAAAATAAATAAATAACAGTTAAAATGGATAGGATATTCATTTTTAAGTACATCACATACTGGCCATGTTAGTTTATACACCTCCGTATCAATTCGCGTAATTCACAGTATTACATTATTTGTATACCTAAAATTTTTACCATTTTAATTCTCGAATATTTCAATACATTTAATATTTTTCAAAATGTATTTCATGAATTAGGAAACTCCTTCATGATGATGTTACAAGATTCTCCTTATCACCTTGAATTCGGGTTTCTAATTAGGTCCTAACGACTCTTAATGCTAGTCGAACCAGTACTCGTGAGTACCTTGAGCCTGAATAAAATTGAATTAGGACTAGTCAATGAGTACCTTTGTCAGATTCGTGAATAGAAGTTACATTCATATAATCACGGGTACCTCTGGGATAATGATAAATTAAGACTGATGACTATCTAGAGATTGAATGCTATCGAGTTAGAACTAGTGAGTAAGTACTCTTGCGGTAATCTTGAATCAGAACTAGTGGTACCTTGAAACTGAATAAAGTCGAATTATGACTAGTCAGTAAAAACCTTTAGAATAATGTTCATTTAGAACTGTTGAGTAACTCGGGATTGAATAATGTCGATTTATGATTAACGAGTTAGTACTCTTGGGATAATATTAATTAAGACCAGTGAGTAAATATTCTTGTTGAATTAAGACTAGGGAATACTTTGGGTTTGAATAATACTGAATCAAGAATAATTAATAAATAACGAGATAATGTTGAATTATAACTAGTGAGTATGTAGTGTTAGCAGGGTTGCCACGCTACCTGGAAAACTTGGAGAACCGGGAAAAGTCAGGGAATTCGAAAATTGACCAAAATATTCAGGGAAAAGTCAGGGAATTTAAGTATTTTTGTCAAAATCTGGAAAAGTCAGGGAAGTTCATACAACGATCCAGCCAAAAAAAGCGATTTTTGCGCCGACGTCGGAAGAGGTAACTTTTTTTTTGGCGAATTATGTATCACGTGAGTGTCATTCGGGTAGCTGGCATAGAGCCAATTTTCGCAGCTCCGATTTGATTGGCTTTTAGAAAGGCAAGCAACTTTTGGTTTCCAATATTCTCGAGAATCGCATGTGCAGTGCATGAAACTAAAGAAAGTACCTGTTCCCATATAAAACAAAATGGGTTTAATCCTAGTATACGGTACCATGGAGGTTAGAATCAAAGATATGTATTGTAAAGAAGGAAAACCTCTCTGCAAACAGACGTGGCCTGTGGCTCCGTTCCATCATAGAGGGAAAACAGCTGTGCATGTCTGATATATCTGTTGCCAAAGCTCGAAACCGGTGTCGAAGTTCGAAGGTCACGTTATCAGATTTCATAAAATGAATATCGTTTAAAATTTCTTTAACCCCTTGCGCTAAAAAGACGTGCCACGCACGTCAAGATGCTTTGTCTCAAACCGCGAGCGACGTGAACACGTCGATAAGCATTTATCGCAAAAATGAAAATAACGTGGTGCACGTCGCCTAACAACGAGATTGTTTATTTCTCGAGTTTACAGCTCTGGATTGCACTCGCAGATGCGGAGCGGCGGCGTAAATGAGACACTTTACCGCTTGTTATATTGTAGCGCACGGCACCGCAACCGTGAAGTTTAGTCTTAGCGCACAGTGGTTAAACTCTAAAGGAAAAGAAAATATTTTTTGGCGCAAGTAAATTAATTCATGGAATTAGTTATTTCAGGGAAAAAAAAAAAAAACTACGAAAATCCGTTTTAAAATTATTATGGCGAAAAATCCAAGAAGAAACGTCCTTTGATAAACGTTTCTTCTGGATTTTCGCAATAATTTAAAAACAGATTTTTCGTAGTTTTCTTTTTGTCAAAAAGCGTTTCTTCTTAACACGGTTTTCTCAATTTCCTGTACACATCGCGGAGAGGGAAATTCTGGCCGCTAGGTTCCGTCGCCAAATCCCTTGGCAAAATTTTCCCTCCGCATTCTAGCGGCGTAATAGCATTTACTGGTATGGAACCTTTTCTTCTTTACATAGACGTTCTTTGGTTAGAATAATAATGGGATTTGGCGACATCTTGATGCGCAGTTAAACGGGTCATTTTTGGTCTTGGCGACAATTTTCAAAATCGTGCCAAAGCCTTACCGTATACTAGAATTTTAACCGCAAAATCTTTTTTAAACCTTTTTTTTTTCTTTTAATAAATACCTTGCCGTTTTTTCAGTAAAATAAAAAAATAGTAATCAGTCATCTAGGCTAGCCATGTAATATAACTATATTCGCTAAATATCGTTGATTATTTTCTAATTCAATTTTTAAGTAATTATTTTTATGTTATTCATATAATTTAATGTCGCTTCTTCCCTCTAAATTTATTTATATTAGTAAATATTTCCAAATTTCAGAATTTTCTCTGGCATAATCCTGAAATTAATTATAGCAGTATGATGACATACCAAATTTAATACAAATTTAAATGCACACATTTTTCCTTATGTATGCTGCGAAATAAATATAAAATACCTCAATTTATTAAAATAGATTTCTTTCTTTCGTTTAGCTGCAGAATGTCTGCAAAAAAAGCCTTATTTTATTCCAGATTGGGAAGATTCTAATTTCAATCTTCAGTGGAGAAAACAACAACTAATTATAATTATATTTGTGTTTTCAAGTGTTAAGGTGCCTTTTAAGAACATACCTCACGCAAATTAAAATTTACCTAAAATCTAACCTAACTATTTAGCATTGCATTGTGATTTATAAGGACCGGATTAGCCTTGTGTTGAACTGGTGATGATCATGAGTAATAATTAAATAAAACATACATTTGTTATCCAATATATATATTTTAAATTTTATTAAGTTTCTTAAGTGGAAAACTAAACAAAATTATCAAACAAAGTATACCAAGAATAATTAAGAATAAATGTCCTCTGGGATTTATTAAATAATTAAGTGAATTTGCTACACAATACAAGTAATACCATAATTAATTTACCTCTTAGTACAGCCAATGTACATTACGCGGATAGACTGGAATTTTCTTGAAACACACCTGGAAAACCTGGAAAAGTCAGGGAATTTCATTCTCCTGTTTGAGTGGCAACCCTGTGTTAGGATACTGTTGAGTTAGAACTAGTGAATATGTACTGTTATGAAAATGTTGAATCAGGGCTAGTACCTTGGGACTACCTGTTGTAAGGAGTACCTGTTGCGTGCGTACGGGTTCGTTACGAAATGAATGCACAAGTCCGATGAAAAATGGACAAAAATTTATTATTATCACAACAAAAATGCTTAAATTTTCTCAAATTATCATGCAGTATTACAATATCTCACAGTAGTTACCTTTTAACTACTCAAATGTCCAATAGAACGTAATTCAAAACAGCTAAAGAAAGCTAATCCGCGAATTCGCTACAGTCAACAAGAGCAGTTTTCTAAACAACAACAAACTAAGCAACAATTTCGAACTGAGATATTTTCCTCCTTTTAAAAGATTTTAAAATCACGCGCTAGAATTTTCCAGTACTTTCTCGAAATCAAAAAGAGATATTTATTTATTTAATGCACGCGCTCTTGTATTTTCAATTTTCCGGCTTAGCTTTCTTTTAATATTCGTCACGCGCTGCACTGCGCGAGAAATAAAACCATTTAATTTATAATTGAACTAACATTAGCTTTTTAAATACCAAATTCATAACAGTATGTACTGTTAGGATACTGCTGAGTTAGAACTAGTGAATATGTACTGTTATGAAAATGTTGAATCAGGGCTAGTACCTTGAGACTGAATATATTGAATTAGGACTAGTTAGTAAGTACTTTTGAGATTTTCGTGAATGGAAATTGCAGTCGTAGAATAGAATTCTACGACGAGTTCGTGAATAGAATAGTTGCGAATACCCTTGGGATAATGTTGAATTAGAATTAATCTGCATCTGTATTGGATTAGAATTAGTATTCTTCGAATAATATTAAATTAGAACTAATGAGTAAGGATTGAGTAATGTTGAATTATGACCAGTTAGTAAATACTCTTGGAATGGTGCTGAATTAGGAATAGCGAGTACCAGGGTTTGAATAATGTCAAATTATGAATGGTCAGTAAGTATATAAGGTATTTCTCCCACTTCTCTAGTGTCCTTCGTGGTGTAGTGGTTCTGCACACTGGGCCGGTATTCCAGAGGTCCGTGGTTCGATTCCCGGCGAAGGCGGTTGCATATTTTTCATCTTTTCTGCTTCCAGTTAACCTAATGACTCTACAAGTACTCCTGGGATAACTTTGATTTAAAACTAGTAAACAAGTACTGTTAGGTTGAATTAGTGTGTACCTTTGGTTTTTTCATAAATAGAAGTAGCCAATCGTATAATGACAAGTTTTAGAACGTATCAGAAGTAGCCAAGGTTCTATTTAGTCATTTTTAAATTCTGCAGCTGACGAAGATGGTTACATATTTGAACCTTCATAACTAGTTCTGCAAATGTATGAATATCATTGTGATCGTTATTGGCCTAGCCCCTCCAATAATCATATAAATGTACACCTAGTTTTGCCCTCCTCCCTTTTCCTTTCATGAATATACCAAAATCCAAAGACATTAAACTAGCAGTGTATGATAAACTGTGTCTTTCTTGTGTCAGAGAAATGGCAGTCTTTACTTACCCATCTCCTGAAACTGAAATCAAATGTTTTCCCGATGGCATGAATTTTAGTCCCGTGACCAGCTCCGAATGGCCAGTCATCGACGCCACGCACTGTCCGGTGAGGTAATCGTATACATATATTGTCTTGTCGGTGGAGCTCGTTGCCACGTACGTTGCAGAAGAATCCACTGCCACCTGTCAGGGAGAAAAGTCGTGTTGAATAAAAGAGTACTAAAAAAAAAAAAAAAAAAAGAAACTTCCATTTCATCGTTTCGAAAGAAATAAACTAAATAAAAAACCAAAACTAATTAACAACTGAAATTTATGAATTCACGATGAAGAGATTTTGGTAATTTACATAGCTGACCAGTTTAACGAATTTTTCGCAGTGTTTACGAAAACTGCCCCAGTTTCACGATCGTACGCGTAAAATCCGTTTTTCACAGATTTTGCAAAGCATCGAAAACCGTACCTGACAAATCTGTCCTTAGGGTAAATCATTTAAATATCGTAAAACATAGCAAGTGTGCCTGTCTAAGAGCAGGAAACATTTAAAAGATAATAAAACAATTAAAAATAAAAAATAACAAAAAAATTTTTATTTTATTCTATCATATTTTCAAGTACTTCTATTTTTCATTTCAGAGATTTTCGAATATCACGAATGTGAAATTTAAAAAGATTGTAAATGTTATAAAGCACAGTTTTTTAAATTACTGTATAGCAAAAGTAAAATAAAGCTATGAAAATGTGTTGAAATTAATTTTATTCGTTTAATTTTCCCATTTTTTATAAATAATGCTCCTTGCAATCTTGTCAGAATATTCAGTATGTCTCAGATTTCTCTGTTAAATTCACTTTTACGGTTTTCTCCCCAATTTTTGATTTTTTAAATATATTAATTTATATATTTTTAAATACTTTATAAGGTATTTCTTCCCGCCTTCTTAGCGTGCCTTCGTGGCGTAGTGGTCTGCACGCTCGAGAGGTCAGTGGTTCGATTCCCGACGAGGGCACTGCTCATTTTTCAAGTCTCCTGCTTCCAAAAAATTCTAATGTCTCTACAACTTTAACGAATTAGGCAACTGAGACATATTTTATTATAAAAAGAAAAGTGAGAAAAATGTGTGTAATATAGATACACTCGGCTGATCTATGTTTATTAGTCCGAAAGGGACGTTAGTGCCGAATGGGATATTAGTCTAGAAGCGGCATTTTGCGTTGAATCACTTATGCGTTGAATCACTTATTTCTCACACTTTCCTAGCGTGCCTTCGTGGTGTAGTGGTTCTGCACGCTGGGCCGGCATTCCAGAGATCGGTGGTTCGATTCCCGGCGAAGGCGTTTGCTAATTTTTCATCTTGCTTGCTTCCAAAAAATATCTTATATCTCTACACACTATAAACGATGTATCACTTTTCAGTTTGTTGCCACGAAATATCATCGCCTGTATTACATTTAAAGAAATTAAAACATGAAGAATCTGCATGAATATTTACATGTTTCTCGAGCTATGAAAAAAGAACGGTACATTGAGCCACCGAGTTTTGAATAACGTAGTCCGAACATGGGCACCTGGAAGCCCTAATTTTGTATTTCAAGTTCATTTTATTATGTATTTGATATTTTGTAAAACTTGAACGAATGTTTGATTAATAAACTCACTACACTGTAGGGGAAAAGAAATAACACTTTTTGATCTCCATCACGCAAGACTGTCTATCGAAATTCTAAAGATATGCTGTTTTTAAATATTTTCTTATTTTGATGATGAACTGAATTTGATGAAAATGATGAAAATGAATGAAAATTTTAAGTGGCTTAAGTGCGGAGAAGATGATATTTAATGTTACCACACAAAACGGTAATAATAAAAAGACAAAAAATCCTTGATATCATAAGCTGAGAAAAAGACTGAAAAAATAGAAAAATGTATACCGGCACTTAACACTTCATCGGGAATTCTAAACATATGTTGCTAAGCTGCTCTTAAAATTTTTATAATTCTGCTGTTGAATTTTATGTGGGTAAGAGCGAAGAAAATCATTCTTAATGTAAGACAAAAAAAGGGGATCAACAGGAGTGAGAGCGGTAGCAGACTCATAGGCTGTAAGCTCAGCAAGAGGGTAAAAAACCTTAAAAAACCCTTTTGGAAGACCGTTAAAATCTGAAAACTTTCAAATTATTATTATTATTATTATTAATGTTTTATGCGTTTACTTTTTATTATTTCATTTCATTTAATCTCATCACCAAGTCTCAAAATTTCGATGCAACTTAAAAGTTGGATAGATTCTCTTCTTTTTATTTCTCTCATTCTCATTTTCATGAAGTCCAAACTGTAACAGGTTTCTCGCATTCGCTTATTCGATTCATTAAAAAGAAATCGGGGGTATTGCAATAAAAGCAGCAGGCTTTATCGTCCATATGTGAAGATTAATGAAAAGCAGTGTTAAAATTTGTTACCTTTATCAAGGAACTTTCTCCTTGGGCCCCAGGCATAGAACGAATGTATTTGCCGTTGAGAACGTCGTAAATTCTTATCTTGCTGTCTTGGCAGGCGGAGAGGACATAGCTCTGGGAAGTGTCTTTCTCCATGTCGTAGAAAGTTGTCTTTTCCGTTAACGTCTGTCCCTGTACAACTTTGATACTGGGTTTCTATAAAAACAATTTCAGAGAAATTATATTTAAACAATATATGCGAATGAGTTCTAGAAATATACTTAAATATCTCTCATACATTTATTTATAACAGGCAAAGAAAATTGAAAATAATACCCAGTGTATGTATACTTTATAACTGTGGCAGTATATTTGTGATTTTCTTCCTAAGGCAGTGCATCTGTCAGAATTTCTATGGCAATTTCTCATGTTTAAAGTACGTATGTCTATGGTATCATAAGTTGATCTGTCAGAGTTTCTAGAGCAAAAAGAGTTTCAATAGAAGAAAAGGATTTCTATGGGCAAATGCTTGTCATTTATTTCTATGGCAGTCTATGTCAGAATTTCTTCGAGCTGGGATGGCATAAATGTCAATGGTAATATAAATAAGTATATTTTTCATTTATTTCTATAGCACTATAATTTCATTCGTCAGGATTTAATGAGAAAAAGAATTTCCATGGAAAAATATCTATGATTTATTTCATCAGTATTCAGTATAATTTCATTTATTTACAAGGCAGTATAGTACATCTGCCAATTATTTCTATGAATTCTAAGCTGTTGCCAGAAATTCGTATTTCCATGCCTTTAATTCTTTATCGAAATCTTTCTGAAAATGTGTGATCTAATATGTAATACTTAGAAACTTAGACTGTGTGCATATATCATTCTTAGAAAATTTCGGGGGAAAAGGGTCAATTAATAACCAACGATTTCGACTATTTTCATTTAAAAAACGAGGATGTGAATTTTGGAGATTGTTTTGTACAGAATTACTCACCCACTTAGTTTTCCTGAATATCACAGTTTTGTCAGCGCCGCAAGACACGAAATGCAGTTCGTTTCCACAGCGCACGAATTTGGCAGCAGTCACAGATGATGTGTGGTCATCCAATGTTTGAGCAAAAGAATAGTTCTTTTGCGCGTCGAATATGTGGATCAGCCGGTCTCTGCTCGCAGACGACAGGAGTTGAGTGGGATCTGAAAAAAATAACACGTAATATATTTTTAATTCTGATGCTTAAAAACCCAAAATATTTTAAAGATTCGTGCAATTTCATAATAATTCTATTGAATAAATATTTCAAGATCGTTTTCGCGCACCAGCGGACGAGCGGTAAAATCGTTGAACGCTGATAGTTCGACTTAGACTCGAATCCAGGAGAGAGGGTTGGCTGTATTTGCGCTTCCATCGTTTTTCCCATTGTAACGTGTATACGAGCCAGTTTCCCTTCGAAATTCATCCACAAAGCCTCCCTCGTTTTAGAGATAGGGCCCACCAGCGGCCGAGCGGTAAAGTCGCTGAACACTGGTAGTTAGGTCGGTTCGAATCCCGCGAACGGGCTGGCTGCATGGGCGTTTTCGTGGTTTTCCTCATGTGTAATGTGTACAGAGTCAGTTTCCCTTAAGTCCTCCACGAAGGCATCCCTCCCCTTCGGCAGATAGCCCTAGTGTGCTTTGCCATAATCAAATAAACCATAAACCGTTTTAGAGATAACCATCAAGTGTTTTGTCACAATCCAATCAACCAAATCAAGATCGTTTTGGAACTTAATTGATTTAATTGAGGCGTCATATATGACAGCTATTTGCCAAAGTAGTAATGCCTTTCATGTGAAACTTTACAATGAAAACTCTTTCGTAATCACGTTACACACTACGTAAACTCGCTCCACCGGCGGTCGGCGATCAAATCGCTGACTACTGGTAGTTCGGTTCGGAGTTATAATCCCGGCGAAATGGCTGACTGCAAAGATATTTTCGTGGTTTCCGCCATGTGTAAAGTGTATACAAGCTAGTTTCTCTTAGAAAGTCCTCCAGTATATTAATCAGTATCGGCGCATACTCAATTCGTAATGTTACATACATAAATTTAAAATATTTCTAGTTCAATGAATCATTTGTATGATTATTAGAGTGTGGTTTTAAAGATAAAGAAATAAATCTTCGTGAGAATATTAATAACACACTTTTAGACTTTGAAAACTTACTTGCGTGAAATTTCTTCCAATAACAAAATTATAGATTTACTTAATTTACCATTATTTACCTGTAATCAAATTATAGACTTATGGATAATTTACCATCATTTACATGTAACCAAATTATAGACTTGAAGAATAATTTACAATTATTTACTTGAAACCAAATTACAGCGTTATAAAATATTTACCATTATTTACTTGAAACCAAATTACAGCGTTATAAAATATTTACCATTATTTACTTGAAACCTAATTATAGACTTATGAATAATTTACCATTTTTTAAATACTAGCAAATAAAAGATTTAACAATTTTACACACTAGTAAACTGCAAAAGAATATCATTGAATGTCCTTTGAGATAGGAAATCAACCTCGAATTATGCAAATTTATTTATCAAGCGACTTTCTCAAAGCAAGTCCAAAATAACGTCAAATATCGGAAGTTTTGAAATAATATTTCTCGTCAATTTTTATCGGACGGGAGTCGAACTTTCTGCTTTTCATTTTTTACAATGAGTGTAAATTTTTTTTAATATAAGGAGAGAAAAAAACGGGAGAGAATAAAAAATTATATTTTTTAATTTTATGAAACTTCCTTTTTCAAAATATAAAGAAAAGTGAATATTTCTGTCATATAAATATTTCTGTAATTAGAAATATATAGGTATGGCCAATGTTTGCGAATAAAAAGACTAGGTAAGGACTTTTGTGGACACACGCTGTATAGTTCAAATCGATAATAGCTATAGTAACAGCAGACAACGGTTAATGGGATAGCGGTTAATGTTATCATTTAGGTATTGTTATCAAATGGCCAAAATCTCTCCGGTTTGAAAAACCAAAGACATGAAAAATATTCCCTTATTGGGATTGACAATTTCGTTAATACTATCAAAATATTACAGAATAAATTTATTTTAATCTGACGTAAGACCACCAAACATAGTCAAAATAGATTATAAAAATAACCATGTGGGACAGATATTTCGCCAAGTAAGGGATTAAGTTGCCAAACAGTTTAGTTTAGATTTTAGTCAACCATTTAAAACTAAGCGAAAAAAAGCAACTTTAGACTGGCGTAGATTTTGAATAACTCTATCAGCTCTATCTAGAAGAGCGGTCAGACACAGGTTCTTCTTCTTTTAGAACAAACAAAAAAAAAAAAAAAAAAAAAAAAGAAGAAAATTCTACAGATTTTTCTTTCTCCCTTCTTCCGAAAAAGAAAAAAAAAATCCCTGAAAACATCTCCGCTAAGCTAAGATTGCTATTGCTTTTTTTCCTGATATTAACTTTCGCATTAGCGTGTTTTCTTTCAACAAGGGATACCCCCCTCGAGCATTAAGATTAAGGTACAGCATTGTTCAAATAACTTTCAAAACCGTAATTAGTAGTTCAGAAATTAATTTTTGCATTAAAGGCATTGTAAACTGTTCATAAATGGACTTTTGCCTTTTTCTAACTAAAATGTTGTGAAAGTACCTATGAATACTTCTAGTTATACCTGTATTAAACGACTTTATTTCCTTGCTTTTATGAAGGCTAGGTTAGCTCACCGTTTAAAGTTATCAAAAGAGTGGTGGACAAAAGGGATCACATTAATGGACACCTACTTTTACACTGAAAAGAATTACAGTACGAGGGATTGCATGAGAGGTTCTGCCCCGGGAGCAAAAACTTTGCATGTTCTTCCTGCTTAACATACTTGATTATCATATTATACATGATCTACAACATCTTTTATGCTGAAAAATAAAGTAAATAGAAAAAATAGAAAATGAAATAGAATTTAAAAAAATGAACACTTTACCTGATTCGGAATCCGAGTATTCCAAGCACAGAACTTCAGCGTCGTGAGCTTCTATTTTACAAAGAAGTTCTAAGTACTGAAGATCATACACCCTGCAAAGAACAAAGGTTTTAATCTTTGCCACATTAAGAAATACGTTAATTTCAAGACACGCTTTCATAACTGTGGTAGCTGTGTGCTATATTTACAACTTCTCTCAAATGTGCCGGCACCCTTATAAGAGATCGGCTGCTGTTCCAACACAGAAACCTTCATATAGTGGCTTTGGCATAAAGGTGCAACACCTTTATGAAAATCTGGTAGTTCGGTTCGAGGTTCGAATCGCGCGAACGGGCTGGCTGCATGGGCGTTTTCGTGGTTTTCCCCATATGTAATGTGTATACGAGCCAGTTTCCTTTAGAAAGTCCTCCACGAAGGCATCCCTCCCTTTAGGCAGATAGCTCTCGTGTGCTAGGCCATAATTGAATAATACCTTTATGAAGATCAGTATCTAACAAGAAAAGGGCAAAAACCTTTATACATGCGGTAGCTGGAGGAGGAAGGCAGTCCGTCCGGGGGGAACACATTTTTGGGCGGCATTTTTTGCGCGAAAAATTACTTTATAGAAGTTAGATGGATCGTCGAGGCAGGAGAGGAATAATTCAGTTCTAAATTACCATACGGAACGAAATTGAGAGGTAAAAGAAATTTTACTTTAGATAAAGAACTCAAAGAAATCTCCAAGCGATTTCAGCACATGCTGAAATGTCATACTTTGCATCTGCATACATGCTGATGTCATACTTGTTTTTTATTCCGTCGAAACATTTGAATACAAATTATGAATATCAACTACATTTTGATCATGGCGACATTCATAACGAAGAGCTCCTCGTTAAGAAAGAAATATTTCGAGGTTTTATTTCCATTATTGTTGGGAAAATCGAAACAGAAACATGGTAGGCAGTCCTTTTAAATTTTTCCTGTTTATTATAAAATAAAATTTCCAAACTTCGTAATACCAATGCGAACGTTTCTCACAACTGCTATACATGCTGTCAGTTGTAAGAAGCGTTTTCTTTAGCGGTGAAATCTGCAAATGTGAATCATACTCTCGGCAAATTTTAAAACTTCATTTTCCACATTGAAAAATGGTGTGCACTGTGGAAAGTTTAAATCAACGCGTCCAAATCACAACTTCTCCAAAACAAAAAAAGGAGCGTTCCGCTCAAAAAAGGACTTATGTTTTTCAATGAACCTGTTCCTGTCGTCTCTCTAGCAAAAAACCTTGGAATATTATTTAACGATCACCTCACATGGACTCACCACGTGAATAACGTACGAGACAATCAATAAATGTCTTTATCCCATCATTGGAAAATGTTCTTCGCTAGATTCTGATAAGAAAAGACTCATTTACCTTTCTGTTATTAGGTTAATGAGCAATCTGCACTCCAATTTTTCTGTTTAATTAATTAAGAAGGGATGAAATAAGTCTTCCTCACCTTTATGAAAAACGGGACTTTGCATAAAGGCGCACGGACTTCTATGAAAACAGCTGAGCTGACACAAAATTGCCAGCACCTTTGTGCAAGTTAATTTGCATAAATGTGCTTTACATTTATTTCATCAGCTATTCGTCAGTTAACTAATCAGTAACGCACAGGAAAATCAGACTTGCATAAGCATGCACGCACCCTTACTAAAGGTTTGTGTGTGTGTGTGTGTGCGATGTCCCATTTCAGCTTTTCCCACTTCAGGCTTTCGAGAGGTGGCAACAAAAACCATTCCATTTTAGACATTTTTCTTTCTTTCGGAGGGTGTTTGCGGCGGCAATATAAAAAATCGTTAAATTTTAGCCTTTCTTTGATATAGAAGAATTCTTTTTCTTTACTAAATAATGATTTAAAAAATATATTAAAGCTTAAATTGTATTGAGTCAGTACCTAGTTGATTTCACTGACGTACACTAAATGAGTTCTACTTCTTGACCATCGCATGTTTGTCAGCAAGAAAATGCTGTCATTATTTGCTTTCCAAGCAGGAATTCTAAAATAAAATCCACTTATTTTAAATAATTCTGAAATAAATTGTTTGAGAAAGGAGAAAAACCTAAAAAAGAAAGCTTTTTAAGGTTGACATAAAATATTTATTTCAGCCGGAGAAGGTGGATGCATACTTTATTTGAACAACACATAGTAATTCTGTTTGGCAAATGGTCGAAAACAAATCCATTTCATGTTACCGGCAATGGTTGAAATGTTGGCATTTTATGGAATGCCTTCCGTTTTTAGGCAAAGTATGAAATGTGAGAATTAATGCATACTTTACCTAGGCATTGTATATAATACCTCAGCATTCTATAGAATTCTATGGGATGACAAATATATTTAAAGGAAATATAAGAAAGAAAGGTTATGATAAGGCTATCATTCAAAAGACGTTCATTCCTCAAAAATACAAATGTCAGTTTGAAAAAATAATGAAAGACTGCCATTAAATCCTTTTATTCAAAATATGTAAAAACAATTAGTGAAATTATCTTGGAATACCTTAATAAATTTGTATTCTCTAGCCAACTAAGACTGGAAATCAATAAGATCTGCCTCACAATGGGCATTAAATTTATAAAAAATCATAGGTTTCACAACAGTGCACTTTTTAATAACGTTTCGGTTTTCCTGGCAGGGCTCACGTAGGTGGAAGTGCAGTTCAATATCATAAAGTGTAACGTTTTTGTATTTGGTTGAAAGTTCTTTCAATATTCTGTCTCGTCCACCGTATCCAATAGCCAAATGAGTTTCATGAAAGTACGGGAAATAACTCAGTGGTCCATAATATTACATAGTACTGACGCCTTTTTTAACAGGAAAAATGGATTAACTTTTATTTTCCTCAAACATCACGCCATAGCGATTCAGCAACCATTAATCCCATGATTCCTTCTTGGTAGTTATTTTGGCTTTTTTTGCATCATTTATTAACTTCTGGGAATTAGTTTATGTTATTCGAAAAAAATCGCAGATGTATTTCATAGTTTACCAGTTTGCTATTTGCATTCTATAAAACGCCTAGGCAATGTATGAAATGTTTAATCGTTTCATCGGCCAGTTTTCGGCATTCTAAAATGCTGAATTTCATACTGTTGCGTTCTACGGATTCGTGGATTTGGGAGTGATTGATGTCAATACTTGATGAATAATCAAAAACACAATTTATTAGCCAGAATTACGCAGGATAGTTCCAAAGACACGTTTACAGCCCACGAAAAACTACGATAAACACGTTGAAACAATCAGCAACACAGCCTTCAGGCTATCAGGGTATGATGGTGAAGACAGCTTCACAGCAAAGCACTGAATTACAGCTTCCGAATTGGTTGATCGCTCTCCATCTAATCTCCGAACTCAAAGCATTACTACTGAACTCTATACACTCAAGAAACTCTTCACGGTAAACTGCTACTCCGCGTACAGACAGGGTTTATATAGATTTTGACCTACCTTCGAGTACATTTTGGGGAAAATCTGTAACTTCTAGAATGTTCTCCCTCCGCCTATGACATATCGCCAATCTTCGCGCCAAATCTGGCAACCGTGCCTTTCTTTGCCATTTTCTGGCAACTCTAAATCCGCTCTGCGGGGAAGCTGTCTCATCGCAGCTGGGCATTTTGTAACAATACTTCAAGGTTTACATCTGCCTGATGCAGGGCCTTTATAAAGCTCATGAAAACAAATAATTCGTAAAAAATTAATAAATAAATAAGTAATAAATTAAAAATAATAAAATAAAAAAACATTAAAAGCATAATATATTTTTAAAAAAAATTCAGGCACAAGAACAAACTTTCGACATAGCTAAACTAATTGTACAGTTCGTAAAGTTCTGAATTATGAACGATCAGTGACGTCACTTGCGGCACTCCACGCCAACCTTAATTCAGCTTATAAGGTATTTCTCCCACCTTCTTAGCGTGCCTTCGTGGTGTAGTGGTCTACATGCTGGGCGCGTATTCCAGAGGTTCGCGGTTGGATTTCCGGCGAAGGCGTTGCTCATTTTCCATCTTTCATGCTTCCAAAATATCCTAATGCCTATACAGTGGCGCCCGAACTAAAAGGGTGGTGAGTGATGATTCTCCACACCCAGGGTTTGGCGATTCGGTCCCCTAAATCCCCAGTCGCTCTTTAAAAGGCGGAGTATATAAGGTATTTTTCCCGTCTTAGCGTGCCTTCGTGGTGCTGCGTCTGCATGCTGGGCGCGTATTCCAGAGATCCGCGGTTCGATTCCAGGAGAATTTTTCATCTTTCGTGCTTCCAAAAAATCTTACTGACTCTACAAGCTCAGTTCTATTTCTGTATCGTATAAAACTGTAATTAAGTAGAGATTACTGTCGTATTTACTGTATTAGCTATAACACAATATATTATATAATATTAATCCCAATTATGCTAAATATTATTCCCAAAATAATTAATTATATTGGCATTATTTCCAATTACATTATTAAATAACAATTAAAATTATGTAATAATATTCTGAAAACGCAGGGCCAAAGCTCCATTGCAGCGTCATTACATACACATTTCACAGTTGCTTGACTTCCGAACAAATTTTCGAATTTAACCCTGACCCTGAAATTGGACGAATTTTTAAAAAAGCTTGAAATGGGACTCAACCGTTTTTTGAAGGTTAGAAATTGATTTTTATAAAGGTGCGGCATCTTTTTTCCAGGACACTTTAAGTATTCGATTTGTGGAGTTTTGCTTGACCTGGAAGTAATAACCCATTCGACGTGAACCGAATTATTGTTATGTCTGGAAGTGACATACAAGCCATGAAAAGTTTTAAATAACCTTTTTATCTAACCAGAATTTAGAACATAAGTGCACTCTCTTGAGCCACAGCTGGTGGTGATGTAACTAAACGAAGAATCAATTTCAAGTTATAACATATAAGAGTAGTCAAACATTACTTAATTTAAGTAAAACTCGATTATAACGCAAAGAAGAATAATTACAACTATTAATTACAACTATCACAGCTGACAGGAACTCAACGTAGCGTGCACGCGAAGCCCACGAGCAGGTTCTGTCTTAAAATCCCAAAACCTCGCTTTAAATGCTGGCTATCTTATTCGCATTCTGGTGAGGAATGCGGAAAGGAGAAGTTACAGTACAAATCCAAGTCATATTAACTGGCTAGAAATAAATAATAACTTTACACAGTCTTTTCGAACTGCGATCGACCTGCAAGGGTTCGCTTTAGAATAGAACACCTTTACGAAGTGATTATAATTTTAACGCATAACAAACAATCCACTTACCGGACATTGCCGGAACGATCACCGGTTGCTAAATGCTTTCCATCTGGCCGGACTTTGAGGCACCGAACGCCATTCCTGCCATCATATGAATTGACGAGTTTTTCATTCGTACCCGCTGTTAAGAAAAAAAGACATAAAGTTAAACATTTTATAGCAACACGCGATTATGAGATTGTGGTCTATTATTTCAAAACAGAGATGGACAAAATCGTTCTTTTATGGAATCGCATCAGAACGGTTTACTCACTCAAATAATCGATTCTTTTTATGACTAATAACCTTGATTAAAAAGATCCGGAACGAGAGATGAATCAAGAGCGGCTGACAAGGATGGAGAAAAGAGAGGCAAGAATTGAACGATCAGTGGGATCGAGACCGATTAACAAGGTTAGAATGAACAGCGAATGAAGAGCTAAAAAATCTGATATGGCCAGCATATTCCCTTCCGCCAATTCCATGTTTAAGTAGCAGTGGGTATCATGAAGTAAAGTTATCACATCCATTTGATGGTTTGTAAACTAAATATATAATCGGTGGTATCAAAAAGAGGCTGAAATACGAAATTTTTGTTTGTATTTTATTAGACACAATTAACCATGTGTCAAAACTGATTTTATCCAAATTTAAACCGACATGATTCGATGTTTGCCCACTTTATTTATGTTTTATTATAAACTATAATTTATTGTGCAGTTGAAGAGCATATTATATTTTTTTACCAGACATTGTTAATGAGAGTCCGGTATTGAAAGTCACATGCTGCCGACTTCACTGATCGTAGCTTGATCCATCGTTCGTGATCCGAGACGTTTTCTGCTCTGATAATTTGTTCGTGAAGTGAGGCATTCGTGATCCGAGGTTTTAATGTATTAGAAATCGAAAACTAAATCGAGTGAAATTACCTACCGTATTTAATTGATGAAAGTAGGTGTTCGCTGTCTCAGAATGTACCTTTTCGAAAAGAGGGTGAGTGTGGAAGAAGGGATTGATGGTGGATGACAGAGGATGAATCTACTCTCTTTTGAATAAACGGACTTTTGAATAAGGACCCACTGCACAGCTGAACTTTTATGGTATTCACAAAATTCCTTACCAACACAATTTAATCTTCAACTATTGATTAAAATACGTCTGACTTCCAATTTTTGTAAAAAAGAACATTATAGTTATGTTCGGTATGAAGAAACTCATATATCCTCTATTTGTCATCACTGCTGGGCAAAGGCTCATATCTTCCCTTTCACTGCAGCCAAAATTATTTTAAAAAAAAATCTTCGTTGGGAATTAAATTCCCCCTTCTTTCACCATCAGCTTTTCAAGATCCCCCCCCCCCCAAATTACGTTTCTTTCACTTTTCGGTCAATGGATGGCGCCAATAGCTTCGCTTTCTACCATTTACAGTAGACATTGCTTAATCTGATTACGATTAATGTAATAATTCAGATATTGTTGTGGAATTGCAGAAGTTCCGCTGGTTTGTATAAGAAAACACTGAAAATGCATTGCTTATTGCAATCCCATAGACATTGGCCACTACTAAGGCCAGAAGCGGTGGTCACTTTATTACGGAGCCACCTAATAGGTGAGCCGCCGTCGTCTCCTATGAGAGGACGGTACAAATGACATCCATGCCTTCTCCAGGATTCGAAACCGCGCCCTTCAGTACCGTAGTGAAGTCAAAAACCACAAAGTAAAGTCAGTTCAAAATTGATTAGAAAACTTGCCAAGATATACAGAATGTCGCTAAGTCAGGGATTAAGTCACCAAACAGCTGGTTTCGATTTTAGTCAATCATTTAAAATTAGACAGAAAAAAAAAATCTCAGTTTTGGTGTAGATTTTTAATAACTCTATCGAATTTGAGGGCAATCAGAAACTGAGTATTAAGATTAGAATAATAGCACCAGTCAAATAATTACCAGAAATTTTATGAATCGTACTTAAGTGCACTTTTGAATTAAAGATATTATGAACAAAATTTTGAATTTTCGTATTTAAAATGCTCGCTCTGAGAATGCTTATTTATATATTTTTATAGTTATATTTATATTAAACTGGTTAAATTCCAACGCTTTTTTAAAGGACATTTTTTTCACTTCGTTTAATATTATCATTCGGTTATGTTTATTATTCGGTTAATGTTATCAAAACCGCCGTTGTCATAAGTGACCACTCACGTTAAACGGCGTTAGCTGTAGCTAGAATATTCAAGAATTTTTCTTTGTTGTTCATACGTAGGCATGTTCCCTTGTTTTCGCCATTTCCAGCTGTCAAAGAAGGTTCTAATTAACCTTCGAAACAATAAATATGCAAGTTTATTCATTTACGCCTACTTTATTTTGTTTATTTTTGAATACGTTTAGGCTTTCGGTGTGTTCTTTTTGTTATATTTCTTACAAAAGACATGAATTAGTTATTTAAAAAATAAAAATGAAAGGAAGAAAAGAAGGAAATGCATTTTACCTGGCAGAAGGTCGATATCACATATGAAGACCAGATTTGGGTCTGTATATAAAATCTTTAATAATTCCTAAAATGAGAATGAAATTAAAAAAGAATTACAAAAACGGAAAATACACCTCTATCACCACAAAATGAGTACACAATTATCAAAAACACGGATTTAATTTGAAACACTTTTATTAGAAAATCTAAACAAATTATATTGCAAAATAAATACAAAAGTTCAAATATTTTAACCATGTAATTAATAAAATTACAATAAAAGCTCCATTAAGTGTCCCTACAGATATCAAAACGGTATTCTTTTCGCGTAAGTTGCGTTACGTATTAATTCACTCTGCTTGATGAATTTATGAATGTTAATACGAGTATATGTGTACTAATTCTTAATGTATTTAATGTATTATCATTTAACACTATGTCACAAATCGGCGGACAACTGCGGCTCTGGTTTAAGCCGAGCTTCGTTGCAAGGTAACCAAACCTTGATACGTCATGAAAACTGGTTTAGAGGCTTTGGCATAAAGTTCAAAGTTTCCAACTTTATGCCGATATCAGAATCGATCAATCAGAGCGAACGAGAGAAACAAGAAAGGGAAAACAGAGCGGAAAAGCTGTAGACACATACAAAGCATAACGCAAATTCAGCCTTTCTAATTGGCTACAGCTTGTACCCTACCTCGGAGGTGTGAACGGAACTCCCGCATTTTATGCCTTATGACTAAGCGTCTATGACATTTATACCACCGTCTGAACGCAGCTTTACTTAACACGTTAAAAGTACTTTCATATCTTCTTTCGTTATTAACAATATGTATCTGTAACTATAGAAAAAAAACCTGAAAGCTTTCAGATTTTAAATTACGCCCGAAGAGACTTTTTTTTAACGTTTTGTGTGTTTATTTTATTTATTAAATATCACGTTTTTGGTGCTTATGGCACATAAAATTCGATTTAACCGAAAAATCACAAAATATTTAAAAACAGCATATCTTTAGAATTTCCGATAGACGGTCTTGGGCGCTGAAGATAAAGAATATTTTATTTTATTCCGTATAGTGTTCCCACTGCTTGCTTTGAAATCGTTGAGTTTATTCATCAAAAATTCGTAAAAGGCTTACAAAATATGAAAGAGATAATAAAACAAACTCGAAATTCAAAATTCGGGGTTCCAGGTGCCTATGTTCGGGTGGAAGACTACGTTGTCTAAAATTTGATATCTATAGATACCGTTGTTTTTTTACAGTGCGAGAAACACACATACGTTCATGCAGATTCTTCATTATTTAATTTCTTTAAATATAATGCAGCTCTAATATTTGGTGGCAACAATTTGGAAAGCTAAACGCCCGTTTATAGTGAAAACGAAATTAGTAGCCTTTCCTAGCAAATTGCCCCTTTGGGTTAATGATTTTTTTAAGACGTTTTTATTATAAATTTGGTACGATTTGAAAAATATTTAAAATGAGAAATTTCAGTAACTGAGTTTTAGCGTTTAATGATAACTAAATAATTACGGTAGAGTCCATTACTCAGAATGTCACATGTTAGACTGTGAGTACTTTTAAAATAATGTTCATGTAGGGGTAGTCTGGCCGGCTAGCTTAATATATGTTAACCATTGATTAATAAATGTTTTTATTGTAAATTTCTGTTTATGTTTATTTTAGTGGTCTATTCCTGTTCCCCATGAGATTCTTAAAAAAAAAAAAAAAAAAAAAAAAAAAAACGTGGAACTTCTAACACGAACCTGGCTAATTTATTGCGGTTTAGCTGAGGAATTAGTTGTATGTGTGTTTGAACTACACGATTGGATTTATTTTATTTGAACTGGTGGGTGAAATTTTAATTGCGTGGATTATCCTTCACTGGTGTTGTGGGGTGTTTTTGAATGAAAAGTGTTTGTGGGTATCTCTAGAGTTCAGGAATTATTGTACTGAGGTTAAAGTGTTTTTAGAAAAGTCAGATGATAATATCTCATTTCAGCGTAAAGAAACTGACTTAAAGAGTTTTAAACAATATAATTTACTTTGCAAAAATGATGATTTATGTTCTTTAATTTATCTTAAATCACCAATTCCTGGATTTCAGATGTTATGTGAGTTTAATTTTAGTTGTCCGGCACTAAATGTTGTCGGTTATACAACAAGAATGACCTTCTTGTTGTATAACCGACAACATTTAGTAACGGATGGGATACATGCAATAATTTTCGCTACCCCAGTATAACTTGATTTGAGATTTTCGAAAAAGTTTCTAATTCAAAATGAGTATGGGAGTGTTTCATGATCTTGGAAACAGCAATTATGCATATTAAAAGTTATAGTTCACAAGTCGTAGCTCATCAGAGATGATGTCAGGAACGGAGAGAGACAGACGCGCTATTCCTATCTGCCGACAATCCAAGTCAAGCGACGAAAAAAAAACTGCGAGTATTCGTTTGTAGATGGTAGTGCGAAAGGCCAATGTCAAGCAGAGTGTAGAAAGAAATGCTAGTGATTGCTTAAAAACCGTTACATACAATTAATTTGTTATAATAAACAATATAAACAATTACGTGTGGTTGCTGTTCTGAAAGACAGAGATCTACGTAACGGTGCCGCGATATAAGGGAGTGTGACCGAACTACGTATCTGTCTAATAGTTTTTAAATAGCATTTCTGATTTTTTTCGGCTGTCAATGCACATTTCGATAACAAGCATAACAAAAGTATTTTTACAGTTAGTAATGAACTTTTTGAATCCCTTCCCTCCCCTTAATAATTTCTCCCCCCGCCCTTAGTATTTCCTAAATTTTTTATTTAATATCGTGACCTATGAGCTCGCTAGGGAAAAGGAAGTTGTCTTCTAAAAATTCTCTAGAAATCATTGGCTGTCTGAGAAAGAGAATGAAGAAATTCAGAAGAAAACAGTGTTATAACAGATTAATAATAAATAAATACTCATAACTAAAAAAATAGTAAAATCATTTAATAATTATAAATTAATTCACGACGTAAATAAAATAGGCATAGCTGTAAAAAAAAAAAAAAAAAAAAAAAAAAACGTTCAAATGTCTTTTCATTCCTCAACGAAAATTATTTCACAAAGCAACCTGTGTTTTGAGAACTGCTGTTCTAGCTTATTAAGCGTTTCAAACTTGCATTTCCCGGAAGCAGGGTCGGCTATTTCTATAAAGAAACGCGGATGTGCACCTTTATTTAAAACGCCGGATTCGAGTAAGAGTACCGGCGATTAATTTCAAACCCGAAATTGGTCTTGCGGGCAGACTAGCACAAGTGTGCGGCATCAGCAGATGAGTCCGTTGTTTATGATATTAACAAAATTCCACAGTCACTGATTTGCTACGTGATCAGTGACTGCAAAATTAGGCTACTTCGTTAAATATTTTGTTAATTATAGAGTTTATAATAATTTACTCATTATTTAAAAGTAAAAACTGCTATTTATCTCTATGATGAAGAACCAACACCTTCAGCGGTGACCCGGACATGACTGAACACAACACGTTGGTTGAGTCATTCACACCTACAGACTGATCATTTTGCTACAGGTGACTATGTTCCTTAATTTCGCCTACAATTCATTTGAACAGTTATAACAGACTAAAGCTGTTTGTATTACGATCACGTTTACCGCGCATGTTCAGATTACCTCGCTCGACCCTCTAGAAAGCTGTATTCAGTCAAAGACTTGGACATTTAATAATTATTTTAGTACAAGAACTCAGAATACTGATTTACGATAAAGTAAAATATAGTGATTTCAAATCAAGCTAGTTTTGTTTCGATAATCCTAAATATTAACAATTTTTTATTTACACTTAATTTTTGACATTATGATTTTGGAATAATGTCGGTTTCGAATCGAAATCTAAAAGATAACAGAAATGAGTTTCTTGTTTCTGGAATTTAATACTCACATAACAATAAATATTTCGTTTTAAGGCACAATTCTGGAAAGTTTTCTGTTCCAAATTCCATATTCGAATGGTATCGTCACTGGCACACGTAAAGAAGGTTCCACCGGGGAGGGGACTGCCCTCTGGTAGGTCAGGATATGTCTGGAAAAAAAGTAATATTTTTTTTAAGATAAAACGTTTGTCCGGACACCCGCCTAAAGTAATTGTTATAAAAAACAAAATATATATATAATGATTCTAATGAGTCCATCTAATGTCATTTCACAGGTCCAGTTAGTCATTCCTATCAGACATGAAGAATTACGCTTAATTGCTTTTGAACCGCTTATTTTGTTCCCCAAGAACCAAAATATTAAATTCGAAAGAACAATTAAATATATTACGCTTTGCTGAATGGCAATACATCGGCGCATAGAAGATGAAAATATTTTACTTCGGGTAGTGGCAACGCATTTTTTTAACGTAGTATTACGTTCCTTCATAACCCTTTGCGGCACAGTGTGTCCGATCTGGACACACCTAATACTCACATAACACACCTAATATTCACCTAAAAATTTCCTTCTATACGCACAGAAAAAATGAATGAAAAAGGATTTACAGGTCTTTATTTATAGTAGATGGCAGCTCACCACAAACCAATCCATATATTTTAGCCATGTTTAGGTTTTTAAGACCCTCATTTTTCAAAGAAATCTTCCAGATTTTTTAAGGGTATAAAAGGAATTGTTTGAAAAGAAATTTCTATGTTATTTTTTTGGCTGTATGCTAATTTCCTTATTCTATATTAGTTTTATATTTTTACCTTGAAATCTTGCCTAAAATCAAACGGCGAACACTAGATGTGCCCAAACCGGGTTCACCGATAATCTAGGACAACTGAGAGTCTGTATTCTTTGTTTCTCCGCATCTCATCGGTCAGTTCATTGACAACAATGTTCGTTTCAGCACTCTTTTCGAAGCTCTATTCAATCAGTGTGCCACTTTGGGCACACCCACAGAATTAAAACGATAAGTGCTATCTTCACAAAATTTTACTTGTGTACTCCTCTAGGCCTAATTAGACTGCCTACCTTTTTTTTTTAAACTCCGACTTTAAAAAGTAGCGCGCCAGAAAGGGTTAATGGTCTGATGGAAAAGCAAAAATTTAAGACGCTATTTCGCTATTTGAGGTGCACGCGAATGCTTATACCTTCAAAGCTACAAATGTTAAGCAATCTAAATACATCATTAGATATATGATTAGGTAATTATATTTTAATTGGGCAAAGGATATACGCATAGTGTAAAGATCCTTCAAGATCAAAATTGCCGGACGGAAATTTGCAAACCAGTTTCTGGCTCTAGCGTTCTGTCAGTACATCTTCTCCATACACGTTGAATAATTTTTTTTTCTTGTTTAAACATTATTTTAACCTTTTTGACGGTAAAAAAGTAAAATATACTGAAAATGCTGTTTTTCACTTCCAGTATTTGAAAAGGTACCAACCAAAAACTAATGTGTAAAATTAATGAAGCTTTTCCACAGGCAAACCTTACTATATCTGCTGTCAAAATATATAATGATTATGCGGCTTAAGTGTGAAGTTGTCTGTAAAAAATACAATTAAGCTTTCTGCTGGGGGGGGGAATTACTTTCCGAAAGATTAAAACAGAAATACAGTAAAAATTATCAAACCAAAATTCCCAGTATTGTTGTTCTATTGCCATTTATAAAGTTCATCAAATCCTTTGCAAATCTAAACGCTTTATTACAGCAGTATTCATAATTTTGTAATCAACGATTGCGAAAATAAAGGCTGGATAAGGACTTTTGCGAATACGATGTATATTTGTATGAAATTATATTAACTGGTCTCATTAAAATCATTACGCATTTTTTTTAATACTGCTGCGTTCTACGATTCGTAAATTTGGAGTGGTTCATGACAACACTTGATGAAGGAACAAAACATAATTTATTCGCCAGTATTACGCAGGAGAGTTCATAAGATACATTTACAGCCGTCGAAAAACTACGATAAACACGCTGAAACAATCAACAACACAGTCTTCAAGCTATAACGGTGAAGACAGCTTTACGGCAAAGTACTAAAGTACAACTCTCGACTCGGTCGATCGCTCTCAAGCTGATCTCAAAGCACTGCTGCTGAACTCGGCACATTCAAGATACTCTTCACGCTAAAACTGCTACTGCGCGTACAGGCATGGTATAGCTATATTTATAGCTTTTGACCTGCTTTCAAGAACATTCTCAGAAAAATCGGTAAGAATTCGTTCCAGAATGTTCTCGTTCCGTCTATGGCATATTGTCAATTTCTGTTGTCAAATGGGCGATTTCGCGCCAAATCCGGGAACCCTGTCTTTCCTTGGTATTTTCTGGCAATCCTAAATCCGCTTTGCAGGCAAGCTATCTTACCTCAACTAAGCATTTCGTAACAATACCTACTTTATGTGTCTAGTTTTAATATGATTCTGTGCACATGCAATAATTTCAATCATGTAAAAAAGCCACTTACCTCAACGCCCCAGATGCAGGCACTGTGATAGAGAAATGAATGAGATTTACCAATTTTTTTCACATCTTTCACATCCCAGACGTAGAGACTGTGATCGCTATGTACACATGTGACCTATCCAAAACAAAAAAGAATAATAGTAATAAGAGAATAATTATACCACAGAAACTTCATGAAAATATGATTCTACTATCGACCAAAATGCTGATTAGAAATATCATTAAAAAAATTAACTCACTTTTTTGTTCGTTTCGTCCAGAGTCAACGCTATTACATCCGGGTATTTCGAAGAAGGAGGATGGCCGGACATTTGTCTGAAACGTTATATACACATGAAATAAAAATTTCAGTTAACGAAAAAACATCAGTCGCATGAGTTTAAATCTGAGAGTAAAATGTATTGAAGCAAAATAGTGCAACATTATTAATAAAATTAATTTATTATATATATAACGTTATAAAATGATAGATTATTATTAATAATAATATAAAAATACGTTATTAGTTAATCACATTTATTTCACAACAAGAAAAATTATAAAATAATTATATTTATATACGGTTACAAATTATTAATAGTATTTACTAACTATATTATGTATTAATATTAATAATGTACAGTGGTGCGTAAATAATTTGTAATACTTATTATTATAAATTATAGTTATCATATATCAGGATACAGGCGTCAGATAATATTCAGGCCAGCCGATCTGATTAGTATATGCTGTCTGCTTTATCGTTGAGCTTCGCTGTTAAGCGCATAGTGTCTGTGCAGCAAGAGAGCACTAAAATACTGGAGAACCAAAAGTCGTCTCGAGAGGTTTGTGATAGGAAATGAGGGGTAGGATACTTTTAGATCGGCCTCCAGGGTGTTCTTCGTCAATATTGGGAAGGAATTTGACCGCTCTCGCGGGTGTTGAATCGGCCTCCTCCTGTGGTACACCTACATCAATGGAACTGGACGATGCGCTCCGGAACTGATTCAAAGAACAGATTCGCTTTACTGAGCGAATTTATTCCGATTCCAGAAAACGGAATTGAAGCTCTTTTACAGTTCACGGAGAGCTCCTATTGGAAGTGTGCCAGTAATACGGATATATCTATCTGTTCACGAGCTGATTCACTTTACTGAGCGAGCTTATGCCTGATTCTTGAAAAAGGAACGAGGCTTCTGCTAGAAGCGTGGCAGCAAAGTTCGACTTCTATTTTAGAGGAGAAAATAGTGTTTATTCTCCCTTGTTAAAAATAACTTTTATCGGTTTCCAACTTTTTGAAAAAATTTTTGTTCTTGAATTTTATCATTATTTCTGAACAGAAAAGAGGTTTTTAGGAAATCTCAAAACTACAGTTGAAAGAAATAAACTGATCAATCAAAATCTAACTTTCAAAGATTTCCTTTGCAAACTTGTTTGACAGATTCAGTACAATTTTTTTAATTAAGTCAACTGAATTACATTAAGTTTATTAAACAAGAAGCGAAGTAAAATAATTATGTGTAGACACTGATCACACAACTTTGTAAAAAGAAATGAAATAAATAAATTACTTTCTATTTGGACATAGTTTTAGTTTATTGTGTGTCATACATATGTTTTATTTGCATGAAACCCGCACTACTCGCCTGCGAGAGCTATGCGCTGGCCATCCCTGCTATGTGATGAAAATGTTATTTTTTTTTTTTCAAGTAATTAGCTGTTTGAATGTCCGTAAACTTACCTGCCAGTGAGGCCTTTGGCAACGTCGACACCCAGGTAGTGCGGCCTGGGCAGTGTACAAATGAAATGAAGATCTAAGGGGCTGAAGCATCTCACGATACCATCCGAACACCCAACCAGAATCAGGTTCTCTCCAACGGTTATGCTATACGCCACAGATATCTGAAACCAGAAGCATTTCTTTGCAAATGGCGATCAACGAAGAGAAACGAAAGCAAAATTTTGTAAAGACAAATAAATAATAACATTTTAGCCTAAACTTCTTGTCTAAATAACTTTAAATTCTTTTAATGGATTATCACACATTCAAACGTGCAATGAAATGACTACAAAACGAAATCATTAAAACAACAGCCTATTTTAATGGGACCATCTAAAAATTAAATAAATAAAATCGGTAGATCGAACACTACTTGAATATCTAAAATTAATCGAATGAAGCGCAAACAAAATTTTATGCTTGAAAATGGAGGTTGTCTTACTGTTTACTGTATTTGTTCTATAATAAATTTCAAACGCTACTCGATTAATTTTCAAATGAAACATTTTTAGCATATTTGATAGATTACAGCTAAACAAAACAGAGTCAAAATTTTAGAACACACAAATATGTATTTAGAGTTTGAAAAACCGTCTCGTTGTAGCTACAAAATTCTAAGCTATCACTTTTTCCTTATCCTTTTCCTTATTATTCATGTACATAGGTAATTTTTCTCTTTTCCGTCCAAATGATTTCAGCTTAGGTGACTTAATACTTGAAAAGACAATGACACATATAATTTCAAAAATGAATATTAAAAGCTTGTAAACTGTGTACTGAAGTTGCCTCTCTTTTATGTAAAAGGCGATTTAAGAAATGATTCCTTAAACTCGTCCATAGATTGTATCGTATCCCAGCTCTATTAAAGGAATAGATAGCAATAAAGAGGAAAATATTACAGAAGGAGTATAAAGCTAAGTTATGCACCTTAATAATAATATCGGAAAATTTATTGCTCTAAAATTTCATTTTTAAGTCAGTTTGGTACTTTTCCATTTTGCCGGCGCAAACGATAAAATCGCTAATAATAGTACAATTGATGCCAAACGGAATATTTTCGCTGGTAACCTTTTACGCCTCATTTTCAAAAGAAGTCGCAGCCATTTCTTACGAGATTGATTGTTTCTTTCAATACTGGCATACAATGACATAGAGTATTTACAAAGATAATTAAATTTTATGTCTGCCATAAGACCAGTCGCGGTAATTAAGTCAATTAGGATGCAATCACATCGCTCACCCGAAGGCGAAAATATAGAAAAGGCAAAATTAAGGGTTAATTTCATCAATTCTAATGAGAATGCACTAGCGAAGTAAAGCACTGCGGTTTTACATAATTTCTGAGTAAGCTATTCGTACGAATTGAAATAATTCTTGCATTTAAACTTGTATTCCAAATTAAGACTTAACTTGAAATGAATGTAGATAATTACTGAGAGAATTATATTTTTGTAGCGTAGTTTAAGTGAGATGAAATCACTTGTGGTCACGTGATACGAATTGGAGAGTCAGGATGTTGAACCATGATAGCGCAGTAAATTCTTAAATTAATGTCTTTTTTTACAAATTTATTGTCTTTATTTATTGGTTTTTACAAAATTTTAAACCATATTAAAATGTTTGCGCTTTCAAAATAACAAATTCTTAGAACTAATATTTGTTACATTTTTTATGTGTGTACTGTATGTTGTCGCCAACAAAGTCTGCTTGGCGGGATTTGCGCTGGCGAAACGGAAAAGTACCGTCAGTTTTTCCCACAATGCTAAAATGATAAACTCGATTGGTAGCTCCTCGAACCTACAAAAAGAGTATAAAACAAAGTTATACATCGTAATATTAAATATTGGCAAATTTACTGCTCGAAAATTTCGTTTTTAAGTGAGTATTTCCCACATTTCTAAAATGATATCGTGTCGATTTGCGGCTCCCCGAGCCATATATTTCAAATTCATTCTGCGAAGAATTAAATAATTGAAATTAATTTAAAATGAAAGCAACACAGGTTTCTAAATGTCTCACATACAAATTTAACAGTGAAAGAAGATAAATACTTATTAGCAGTCAGAGTCTAATGAAGTGTTTTAAGTTCAACAGTCAAATCAAATGACGTGTTTTCTCGTCCATTTCTCCCAGCCCCCCCCCTTTTTTTTTTTTTTTTTTACTAATTTTACTGTCCGAAAATCGAGAGGGGAAAGTTATACGAATAATTTAATTTCCGTTGCATTAAGAAGGTAACAAATGAAAAATAGTCAAAGATAAACTAGCTATCAAGCCCATATAGGCTTTATTGGTAATGAGAGGGCCGACAGCCTGGCCAAGCAGGCGGTCTCAAATGTCAATGCAATGGATATTGAAGTAACAGGTTCGAAGAAAATTGCTATTCGAAGAATGAAAGAGTTTTATGTTAACAAATGGAAAATGCAGAGGTTCTCTTCACTTAAACACAAAGGATTTATGGAACTGATTAACATCACGAATAAGATGAAATGTTGAACAATATTGATGTTAATCAGGTTTTAACTGGACATGGTAGGTTTCCATTCTATTTCAACAACGATTTAATTTGCCGAAAAATAAACTATGTAATAGTTGTCAGGTTGATGGCGATGCTAGGCATTTTGTGGTTGATTGTAGTTTAACAGCCCCTATTAGACATATTTTTAACATTACCGATTTTAATTGTAAGTGCCATAAATTTAAAAGTGTTTAAATCATATACTATTGCTCAAATGAAGTTTATCAATGAAAATACGGCGCTTGTAGGAATCTTCTGTAAAAATTGAATTCTGTATTTATATGGGTTTTAGATATCTGGGGTTGCTCTATGTTGTAAATTTGTGTTTATTTATTTATTTATTTATTGGTTGGTGTTATTGTTTTTGTTTGTTTGTAATTTTGTGTTAGATGTGCTTAATTATTTTTGACTTAGTATTTTTTTTATTGTTTGGGGGTGGCTGGGCTGCTGGCTGCCCTTGTTTGTGGAGAGACGGGGCTCCTTCTTTAGAGCTATGGGGACACTCGTGTCCAGGTGAGTTGAAGGGAGCCTTCAATTCTTACAATTCTTACAGTATCATTTCTTTAAAAGAAATCTACATTCCAATAAGAATACACAGGAATATTATCGTTACAATATCCAATAAGATATCATCTTCATTTTAACATCCCTGTAATTTGAAGCTCGCTCGTTCTCCTTAGGCCTATGCTACTCCTTAGGCCTCCAATCATCCATAAAAAATTAGAGAACACTTTCAAAGTCGACTGGGCGAAGTCGTAGGCTGAATATCGGTTCGTGTTTCCTTCGCTGTGATGTGTTGGTTCTCGTATTAGGCTGGCGCGAACTTCAAGAGTTAAAAGGGAAAGGTTCCGAAGGACCTTCGCATGCAGTTTGCGAGGGTGTTTTTATTTATTTATTGGAAAGCCCACAATCAAGACTTTGAAGAATCTATTTTGAAATTTAGGGAAGCTTGTTTTCTGAATGCATTCGTAAAGGGAAATATGACACGAATATTGTGTAAATTTTCCGAAGCTCGCGCTAAGATACTAAGGGGAAAAGTACATTAGAGGGGAATATGCGCGAGGAAATGGAGAATTAAGCAAAAAGCACACGTTTGGCTAAACACGTATACCTGAAAGTGATATTCAACGCTATTTTTACCTCCCGTCAACCTCTATATATAGGTAAAGGAGGTAATGTTTTCGGCTCGAAAGTTCTTAGGTTTGCTTTACTTTGGTTTGGTTTATTTAAGTACGGCAAAGCACTCGAGGATTATCTGATTAAGGGGAGAGATGGCTGCGTGGAGGGATTTCTAAGGGAAAATGGCTTGTATACACATGGAAAAAATACGTTACACATGGAAAAAATACGAGAATGCCCACGTAGCCAGCCCGATGGCCGGGATTCGAACCCCGATCAAACTACTAAGTGCTCAGCGACTTCACCACTCGGCCGCTGGTGGGCCATTGCTGTTGAAAACATGGAAATGGCGGGACGTCATATGATGGCTAGGTCAGATTTTTTTTTTTACGTAACTTACATAAAAATGATAGCATATTGTTATTCTTCAAAGAATCCTTACTCGCAGTTCGACCCATTTGTCCAGCAGTCGTCGTCCATTGAATTCACAGAGTAGTCCTGATTTGGTGACTGCAAAAGTGCTGTCAGCAGATTCCCCGCGACCGCAGGCGACATCGCAGAAATAATTATTTCTCTGATCGCCCAATATGGCGGACCGGCCCATAAGAGGAACTGGTTCCAGTTTGTACTGAAAAGGAAGATAGTATGGATGATTAGAAAAAGATCAGCATATGTTTCGCAAAGCACAAATGCAGTAGTCATTTAATGATTATACCTGTTACTCATTTGTAAAATAAAATTGTTCTTAGCCGGCACCCAGTTAACCCTTTGCGGCACAGTGTGTCCGGTATGGATACACCTAAAAATTTCCTTCTGTACGCACAGAAAAATTGAATGAAAAAGGGATTTATAAGTTACTATAGGTTACTCTGAACCTTCTTTATATATAGTAGATGGCAGCTCAACACAAACCAGTCCATATATTTTAGCCATGTTTAGTTTTTAAGACCCTCATTTTTCAAAGAAATCTTCCAGATTTTTTTAGGGTATAAAAGGAATTGTTTGAAAAGAAATTTCTATGCTCTTTATGTGGCTGTATGATGCTAATCTCCTCATTCTATATTATTTTTAAATTTTTACCTTGAAATCTTGCCTAAAAATCAAGCGGCGAACCCTAGGTGTGCCCAGACCGGGCTCACCGATAATCTAGGACAACTGAGAGTCTGTATTCCTTGTTTCTCCGCATCTCATCGGTCAGTTCATTGACAACAATGCTCGTTTCAGCACTCTTTTCGAAGCTCTATTCAATCAGAGTGCCACTTTGGGCACACCCACATAATTAAAACGATAAAAGCTTTCTTCACAAAATTTTACTTGTGTCCTCCTCTAGGCCTAATTATTTTTTTTTATCAAAACACCGACTTTAAAAGGTAGCGTGCCGGAAAGGGTTAACCGACAATATCAAAATAACGGTACTTTTGAAAGCCTAGCTTTGAATCTGGAATTTTCTACAGCAGTATCTATATCTAAAGTGACATTTGTACACTTTAGTAAGTCTATGAGATAAAAAAGTATGTTACGGGTTAATAACCTGAAGATTTAAGCACTGAAAACATTTCTATTACGTTTCTGTCGCCCTACGTAACAAGCCTTGTCTTAATATTAGTACTCAAATATAATGCAAATTCATTTACAGATCTGCGGATATCTAAGCGAAATAAAAATCGTTCTATGGTTAAAGAATAATGACATTCTCCCACACGTATTCTCGAGGAATAAGTGGTTATCATGTCCACTTTTGGTTTGAAAGATCCGTGGTTCGAATTCCAGTGAGTGTGCGAATTGATTTTTTATGTTTCTGGATCTAAAATACCTAACAATATTTATGAAGACAATTTCATTAATACAGTTGATATTTCCAACTAGTCCTGAGATGGATCTCTAGATAAATCCTGAGAAAGTCCTAGCATGAATCTCGAGGCAATTCCTGGTAATGTCATGAGATGAATCCTAAGACAAATCCTGAGAAAAGTCTTCCAACAAGTCCTGAAAAATGGTCCTAAGACGATCAAAAGTTTAAAAGCGTTAGGAAATTTAAGTCAACAGCAATACTAAGGTATGGTAACACAAAAGGCAAAGCGACAACGTTGCGTCTGGCATGGTATAGTATCTCTTTGCCCTTGAAATCGATAGATTTGTGACTGAAGGTCTACCCCAGACACAAGATTGTTGTTTTGCTAATTTTAAGCTTTACTGTGGCGTGTTTCTGTTCACTTTTGAAACTAAGTTTACTTCCCTGCATGCCTCAAAAAATGATTTCAAGAGCAGTATGTGCCCGCAGGCTGTCGATTGACCAAATCTGATATTAAACAATGCTTAATAAATAATCGCAGCTCTATAAAGACAGATGATAAGTCAGTGATTTATCAAAGCGTAAATCCCTATGAACTTTTACATACTTTACCTTAAATCAACATTAAACAGGACTGTATTGACAGCTAAGAGATCTTTGATCAGGCTGCAATCAACCGACGGTGGCTCAAACACTCTTTTCCTTACGCTGTTAGCGTGTGTCTGGATCAACTAAATGAACGGAAGAATACTAGTAAATAAACTGAAAGGCATCTTTATCGAACAAGCAGCAAGCGAAGCGAAAGCACTGATATACTTTTTATGGACTGCTTATCTTTGATTCATTACGATCCATTTGAGCATGTCGCGCAAAAACAAAAACTTTTACCGAATACGATGCGACTGTAAACTCTTCTGTCACGGAAGACCTCGGAAGCAGCCGCGCAGAAACGTTATTCTATTCTTTTTGAAAGTAGATAATAAATGATGGATATCAAATATAGGTTCTTAACTGTATAAGTATCTGCAAAACAGATTGGATTATAGAAAAGGCACGAAAAGGAAAGTAATAAAAACATGTCACTATCAAACATATCAGAGCGAAATCAGAATTAAAATCAGATTTGACTGCCGTGGATTAGTAATAACTGGATTGAATGCAATTGAATTGAACTTGTTGCCATAAAAGAATAATAGGAAGACAGTAAAATCCATCTTAACCGGCATCCAGTAACCGGCAATATCAAAATATCGGCACTATTGGAACTTCTAGATTTAAATCCGAAATTTAAACCTATGAAATAAAAATTTATGTCATGGGATTTGATCTGAAGACTTAGATGTTGAAAACATTGTGCTTCGTTTCTGCCACTCAATCCAAATAGTGGATCAAGGAATTATCAAAAATATTAAGGGTGAAGCAGCGATCCTTTTTCATGCCCCGTTCATGTGCGAACTTTTAAGGAAGTGTCCACCATTTTCAGAAACAATTCGCATTGAAGGACGACATGTTAACTTGTCTTTTTCCTAGAAAGATACGTCCGGCGCCCACGTCAGGCATCTTAAATTTACTTATATATATACGGAGAAAATAAGCGTTAGCAAGGAGGAGGTGCGGAACTGGATGGATTTAGAAAATTCTGTTCCGTAACACTCTGTCAAGATAATAAAGTAATAATCGGACATGTGCTGAGAAAGGAGGACGATAAGAAGGAGAAGAATGAAGATGAAGACGAGACGCAGAGCAAGAAAGTTGACGAAGAATTGCAAATTTTCATCAGATTTCCCAGAAAATGTCATTCTATGATGTTATGAAGCTTTACTATACACAGAGCAAATTTTTAAAACTAATTAACTTATAAGCAAATTGACATTCAGTTTTATGCCAAGGATGGGCAAGCTTCGTGTCGGTAAGAACTGCCTGCTGGAATTCAGGAAAGTTCGAGAGCCGCAACTAGGTATTCCAAAAGTACATATTTATACCATTTTAAAAGTCATTCTAAACGTCAGGTCACTTTGTAAAAAGAAATAAATTAATTACATTATTTTGGACATTGGTAATTTTAGCTTACCATATTTCATACATGTATTTTATTTGCCTATTATATTTAAGAGCAGCAAGCGGCTTGCGACCCGCTCTCTGGCCACTCCTGGCACATCCTTTCGTACTAAGAAATTCGTTAATTTCATTTCATTTAGTTGCCTTTTTCTGAACTATAAAATCATGTTAAGTGTTTTAATTTTAAATGATCTGTATGATTTTTTATAGTATTTATTTAATTCTGGCCGATAGATTAAGAAAAAAAAAAAAAAAGCTATCGACGGACATCGTGTGCCAGAAATCTACAGATACATCACAAAACAACCAAGTAAGAAAATATACTAAACACAACCAAGTAAGAAAAACACAACCAAGTAAGAAACACAACCAAGTAAGAAAAACACAACCAAGTAAGAAAAACACAACCAAGTAAGAAAAACACAACCAAGTAAGAAAATATACTCTAGAAATACATATTCAATTATACTGAAAAACCTCTTATCCGGAATCGGCGCTGTATCGTTGCAGCCGGTTAAAAAGGATACTACTGTATTCCGTCGCATATGAGTTAAAACATGGCTGTTTACTATATAATCATCTGCTGAGAGAAAAAAAAAAGACACGAATAAACAAGTAAAATAAACATCTCACTTTCAAACGCATCAAAGAGAAAACAGCGCTGAAAATCAAAATTCCCGGAGTGAATCATTTGAACACTTGGCCAAAGGAAAACAGCAAATACAAAATCTGATTCAATACAACAGTGGCGAATCTTTTCCGATTAGTTTGCCAGTTGAATTACGATCTATTGCTTTCAGGTGTTCAACGTGCCACTTGATATATATTTCTTTTTTAAAATCACCTCTAAACACTTTTGACCGAATTATATTTTGAAACTATTGAACTATTTTGAAACACTTGAACTATTATAAATTATCACGTATATTATTAATCATATTATAAGATTCACTAAAATCCGAAACAAGGCGGCTTCTTACAATCGATTTTACAGAGCTCATTGGTGAAAACACCTGCTCACAAGCTTATGAGGACAATAAAAAACATTATAAAGCAAATTTTTTCATGGCAGAAGACTTTTGTGGCAGATCGTTCCATTGTTCAAGGATTAAGTTTTCTGACTTTTGGATGCAATATCTGCAATCTGCACACTCCATTTCTTCTAATGCTTCACTAATTTAGACAAATCTGCTCAGCCACGTAGAATTTCCTTGAAATTTTGTATATTCCGTTTAAAAATTGTCAATATACAACCAGTCAAATAAATGTCACCTTAAGATCATCCATTTTAGGAAAACGAGGTCTTGAAATAAACTGCAGTGTTTTCTACAAATTCCGAAATTTAGAAAATCGAGCTAATACTATTCCGTTTAAATTTTCTAAATATCCAGATAGCCCCTAAATATATTTTCGCTGTCTTCAGAAGATAATTTATTGCAGAAACTCGACGTCAGTTCTAAGTGTCTTTTAAGCGAGGGGAAATATTTTTGTTCGAAAGACCAGTTTTGTTGCATATCACTTTCATAACCAACTGTGAGAAATCAAAACCATTATGTCATAATTTGCAATTTAGTTGAGTTCTACCTGTACAGCTCATCCCATTCACTTGCTCAGAAAACGTCAGTTATAATTGATAATCTTCAGTTATAATTGATATAAGTTATGGAATTAATTTCCTTACGACGCTGAGATCCAACCATCATCGATTTTTAATTTAAACATTACTAGCAATAACTTCGTAGACCTATAATTTCGAAGTATCACAGCCCAGCTGATTTATACTAAGTATTATGTGTCAAGTTGTAAGGTTGAAAGCCTGTTTACACTTTGTAGCGCATTGCTCTCCGAGCAGCGTTCTGAATCACTCGAGCCTAGACAGCTGTTTTGGCACGACATCATTGATCACTGATTGCATGATGCATTGTGCTTTACTAAGCTAGTGTTAACCCACGTTTTTGGTAATGATACCCTCCGGCGTTGTCAATAATAAGACAACCACACAAGAGCGTCACCAGTATGGCGAAAAGAGAAAGCTATCGAGCTAGCCTGTTCTGTAACTTGCGAGGATAAATTTGGTCCGACCGATTGGAAAATATAATTATTATAAATATTATCTAAATATATAATAACCTTAACATTGAATTGTAAACATAAATTGAAATCTTCTTGACAAATACGTTATAAAACTATTTAAGCAAGAATTGTTCGTACTGGAAAGCAATCTGTTAACATGTATTGTAAAAAAAATTCTATGAGATGCGTACTTAAGAAAGTAATAAAGAAGAGTTTTGGAATATGTATTGTTGAAATTAAGGGTAAAAAGATCTGATAAGTATAATTAAAAGAATTATTCCCCTTACATTTTAAAATAACTTAGTTACAAGTTTTAAATAATATTTAGAAAAAAATTCTTATTTTATTCTCTTTCAGAAATATTCAGAGAAAGTTAAGTACTATTTAAAGTATTTCGCTATTAAAATAAAAGGTGCTCTAATTTGAAATGGATCGAATAGAGCATTAATTATAAATTGACTTATATTTTTCGATTTTAAAGATACCTCAGAAGCTAAAAAATCATGCCATATTTAAGAAAGTATTTTAGGAAAAAGCTCTATAAATTGGAAGAAATAAAATATAATTTTAATATTAATAATATAATAAACTTTTATCTTCATTTTTGTAATCCTTAATCGAATAAAAAATCGAATTACTTTAAATTTTTTCAAATTAAACCATTCTGAGCAAACTTTTCTGTGAAAAGTATAGCATTTAATTCCGTTCAGAATGAAATGTTGTTTAAAAATGTATTCTTTTCATATACTTAGGACTCTGAAGTATTGTAGAAAAAGAAAATAGATACATTTATATGTATATTTACGACGTAATTACAAAATATTTACATCCGATCGTGTCAAAACCCATTGAACTTAATGATAAATTACCCTATGTTTTGGTCACCACGAAGGGATCGCCAAAGACTTGAACGCCAAACAGTAATCGCTTATCGTTCAAACTGGGATCTCGTGATCCTTCAGAAGCAGAACTTTCGTCTGATTGGTTGATCTCTACCCGGGACAGAACTGCAGCCGAACCATTTTCGTCGAGGTTTCAAAAAATCCCGCATAGCCGGTACATTGTTTCTGTAGCTAGGTGGGACTTCGCTTCCAGCGGAGCTGTCTTTTCAAGAAATCCTGCCGTTTAAACCAGTGCTACGGGAATTCCGTTTCTCAGAAAAGTCTCGTCTAGCAGGGACTGTCGTTAGATGTGATACCCCCTTTAGGACAAGAGCCTGCATGGTGTCTTTCAGTGATCCTGACAGGTGCCATCTGTGAGCGAGCATGGCATTAACAGTTCCTCACTACATAAACCAGGAGCAAGTGGCTCTTATTGCAAATTACAGACGGCGCTACGAAACGGATAAGATCCCTTAATCACTTCACGTTCTACAAAACTCAAATATGTGCTGCCTTGTCACACTCAGGTATGTTATATAGCGCCATCCAACCCAGAAAAAAAAATTTTTTTATGTTCCCCAGATCCTAATCTGAAAATTAACACGGTCGATCCCGCACACTTTCAGACGATTAGTAGTTGCCATTGCAATGACAGCTGAAATGGTGATGGAAATACAATCCTATTTCTCCCCTTTTTAAGTGAATTTTACTTTCTATGATTCTGGTACAACCCCAAAAGCGTGACCCATTAGGCAATAAACATCTTTTTTTATTATTATTATTATTATTTTCGCCGCATTCTGGAAAACAAGAAGCCACGATTCTATCTCGGAGGTAACGATCCAGGCCACACTTAGCCTCAACGAGTGTGTCTCGTTTCTGATACCTGACAACACTTTTCAAAACGGCTAGTCTATCTCAGGAAATCTGATGAAGTGGCTGAACTGAAGGCGGCCCAACAACAACGTCGCCGTAACTCAATTTAACCGCATGCAATGCGTACATAATTATACATATATATACATTTAAAACGGAAAGAATATTTACATTCCTACGATATTATTAAAAAAATTACCATAATTTAAAAACCGAGATAGTCTGAGCCTTTGGATAGCCATAACAGTAAAGAAAGAGTTTTAATGTAATAAAATAATTAGTCATTACCATACCTTAGTCGATCGTGAATATTCCAAGTACCAGAACTTCACATGGTTGTTGCCAACGGTCACGAAATAATTGCCGCCTGCGGCAAATGACAGGGCTTTTACCTGAAATACATGAAATATTAATTAATTTTTCTGTGAAAAAAAAGTAGTAAAAACTTACAATTTATTGTTAAATAGACATTAATGGTAATATTCATTTAGCTTCCGCAAAATGCATTACCAGAGTAGTTACTGGTCGTTCTTATGATGGTTTTTACTGCCTCAAAGAAAAAGAGATATACTGCAATCACATTTAACGTGAATCATGGTAATACGATCACTTTTGCCTACGATTATTTTATTATACTATTATATTGATAGCAGTAACCGAATGATAACATTAATCGATGAGGAAAAACAATGCCCTTCAAAATAGCTGCGGAATTTAACTGATTTATTATGGATATTACCAGGAACATATAAATAGGTACTTTGAGATCATTTTAATTAGGAAAAGGTTGTTTATAAACTGTTCCCAATATTTTTAATGCAAAGCTCAGATATGAACTGTTAATAATGTTCCTGGAAATTATTTGACCAGTGCTGTATCTGATATCTTATTACCAGGACGACATCCCTCGTTGAAAGAGAATATGCCAATGAAAACAAAAAATTAGGTAAAAAAGAAATAGTAGATGCTTTCATGGATATTTTTCCTCTCCCCCCTTCTGCAGGAGCAAGGAAAAGGAGGCAAAAATTCTGCAGGATTTCTCCCTTTCTGAAGAATAGCGACCTGTGTCTGATCGACCGCAAAATCAAAGGAGTTTTTCAAAATCTATGCTAAAATGACGTTGCTTTTTTGGCTTACTTTTACATCATTTATGAAATTCGGAAGGCTTATTAATTTATTAAAGTCTAGCTATTTAGCGACTTATGGCTTTTACTTGGCGACCTTTCTCTGCCACCTGATAACTTCATATTCCATTTTAGTTTTATTTGGCGACTTTATTTCAGTTTAAAAAATTTATTCTGCAATACTTAAATCTTAATAACTGAATTATTGATCCCAATAAAGGATCTATTTTTCATGTTTTCGTACACAAATAGGCGAGGCCAAATAGGCGAGGTCATTCGATTACAATATCCGAAAGATAACACTGACCGCGATCATATTACACGTCGCCTAGTATGCCTAAAATAAATTGTTGTTAAGTGGTTTACACGTGCAATCATCACAGGCAGCGTATGCATATTTCATTACAGGTTAGATAAGGAAGTATTCAAAAACTTGTTCTTGATTATGATAGATGTTCAACTGGCAAAGAAATTACATAGAAAAGTCTTTCTCTCTCTTTTTTTTTTTTTTTTTTTTACGAATGAAGATTTATATGTAACTTCAGTAAATATTTTTTTTATTACAAAATGGACCTTACGTAAAAAATATCCATCATATAAAAGATGGGCCCCGTCTCTTCCCCAGTT